TGTCACAGTTTATTAAAGTTATTGGGTAGCATCTCTAGAGAGTAAGGTCAGAGTAAGACAGCTGATTATGTTTAATGGCTGGTGCAGGACACAGGCAAGTCCCTCCCCAAACAAAAGAAGCAGAAGAGGAATTTGCCCAAATGATGCGTCTCACTGCCGGGCATGAGCTGGCTGTAAGGTTGCTGCCTGGGTGCTGGAAGCAGCGCAGGGCTCATTGCAACTGATGCATCTTGCAGAGAAACCATTTCAGGCTGGCCTGGGTATCTCTAACTTATCTGCAGTTTGCAAGGCCATTACAGTAGCTCCTGAGCTTCCGCACCTCTGTGCTCTGCACGTGTGCAAAACCCTGTGCTCAGAGCTACAACCAATGGCTCAGTCTCAGCCATCGCATCCCAAGATCTGCAGGAAAACTCCGGGAAAAGAGTGGACAGGTAGCTTGAGAGCTGCTACAAAGATTTGTGTTTCTGATTCATCATCTTCTTGCTCTCCCGAGTTACCTTGCTCCTACCAGAAAAGGGACTGCTATCAACATGTATGTGTAATCTGTTACCCTATGGAGCTATTCCTAAGCGTAAGGGCTGTTTAAGAGCCTGTCCTTCTCTACTAGCTGTGAAAAATACAGGGTTGTTAATAGGTACTGGAATTACCCGACAATGCCTGAGTGAAGGAAGGTGGAAGTTATTCACGTATGACATTAGCCAAATACTTTCTCAAGCCTACTTCACCAACACTATTGAAATCAGTATCAAATGCTGTTTAGCCACGTGCGTTCTGCACTGACATAGAATTTGTGTGCTTCAAGACAGGCAAGGAATACTTTAAAGTATTTTGTTATATAATGCAAGCTTGTTGGGTTTTTTGAGATTCATACCAAATGTCAGAAAATAACAAAGCAATACATAAGAAAGCATGGAAGGATTGGGTAGGTCTGAGCCTACCTTCCGTGAATATTGAGAACTTCTGCTGTCTTGAAATCTATGGGTTTCTGAACAACGTCAGTTGTGAATATGGAGGGGAAACAGCTGACTGGTTACAGGGCCATGTTGAAATAGCTCAAACACCTCTCTAAGTCTTTGTCATAGTGTTTTCTGGTAAGCAAATAGAAAAGAGTAGGTTAGCTAAAGGATTTTATAGTTAGAAGGCAACAGAGCTAGCAGTTTTCACAGTGCTCCTCCTCTTTCAGCTCCCAGCAATTAGGATTAGGACATGTCTGTAGCTGAAGTAGGACGTTAAGATGCTCTTTGTGCTCTTCAAATTATGTCTGCTAACTTGACATAAGTCTGAATATGAATTGTTTTGAGATTAAACTATTCTCCTTTTGTAAATGATTAACACAAAATACAGTTTTACATTTTTAAAGTCTTTAAAATATTCTGTTCTGTACCAAAGAAAGATGTTTTGTGTTCTGCACCAGAATGCCCTTACCTTCTCTGCCAAATCAGCACATGTGAACTAGTTATAATCTCTGTGTGTATGTAATTACCAAAGTGGTTTGGATTGCTTTGCTTAAAGATGATGTCAGGATTTAATACTAAGTAGAGAAATTACTTCAAACTTGTTGTAATTAAGACTGTATCAATAAAGCTCTCACATTTCACGTCTTTTCCAGTAGTCATAAGAAGCCAAAGTTTTATGATTCATTGCCTACCTTATATATTTGTTCTTCCAGATATTGCCAGGATACTGACGTGTAAACAGAGATGTAAATATATACTTGCAGATGGGTGATTGTTTGAGCTTGCACAATAGCGCTGAATCATTTGAACAGATCTCCTTGCTCTGTACTGTAGACTTCACAAATGCTGTTCAGAAGTGCAACTCCAGGGCACACGGAGCTCTTTTGTACTCATTTGAGCATGTGTTTTTCTGTACTGAAACATTTTACATCCTAATTGTAATTTCTAAACTAGCGCTTTTCAGTTCAAAGGCCCATTATGAGGTATTAAAAATTATCAGATTCATAAAGTTAGTGATCAGTGCTTGTCTTCTAATATCCTTCATAATCCAGGAAAGTAACTAGGGTTTTATTTGATGCATGTGTGAGAGGAGGGGAAGGGAGAGAAGACTTACAGCACTTCGGCTATCATTACTAGAAAGTTGTTTTAGGCGTTCTTCCAAATCCAGACTTAGGTTGTTATATGTAAGAAGTATAGAAGTTCCGAAGTTGCTATATGATTATATGAGTGTTTCACAGCTAGAGAATAAAAGCTTTAATACATAGGATTCTCCAGCTGATCACACATGTATCAATTTCCATGTGTTGGGAGTGTGTGTATGCATGTGTATGTTGGGAGAAGCAGGGTGTAAATGCTACAAACATGCTGATTGTTCCTAAGGTGATCTTCCCATTCAACAGCTGGTTTTTGGTTACATCTCTACCTTTCCACATAAAAAGGTTCTTTAACTATTAGAAGTTGTTATTCGAGTGATTTATTGAGTTTGAGGATCTTGCCCCAAGATCACAAGCGTGGCATCAGTTATGAAATAACTGTCTGAGAATTTTGGTGGCAGACACGGATCTGCAGAGATGTGGGCATTACATGCTGTGTGCATGTAATATGCAAGGACAGTTGCAGGCCAGATTTTATGCAAAGGTGGTGGTCTTAATTGGGCAGGAGATGAAGGAGGAGGAGGAGGTTAAAATTCCGTGCCTGGTACAGCAGCGATTTGCTAAGTTTATAAAGTTACACAGGAAGTTCATGTGGGCTAAAGGTATCAGATTTTTGAGCACTGACACTCCAAGGGAGCCCAGAAATCATGCCTCAGACTTCTGAGGAAAAGCGTGGAGCATGTGGAAAGTAGCTTAGGGTGGCACGTTTCGCAAATACAGGAACTGAAGTGAGGATCCACAAACTTGTGGCACTTCCTCATTCCGAAGAAGCGTAGTAATAGTCTGAGATCTCTGATAAGCTCAAGAAACTCCTGCGTGTGGCACCAAGAACCTGGGCTGCAGATTTGTGCAGCGCCCTCTGAGCCAAACCTCCACCTTTAAAGTGGGTCAGATTGCTCGGGACCACATCCAGTTGGGTTCGTCTCCAGGGATCTCCTGTAGGCACTTCTGCCATTGTGTAATCACCCTCACTGTTGAAGATTTTTTTTTTTTAATATCTAGTCATAATTTCTGCAGAGTTTGTTCATTGCCTCTCATCATTTTGCTGTGCACCTATGAGAAGAATGGGGCTCTGTCTTCTCCATAACAGCTCATTAGGTAGCAGAAGGCAGAGCTGGATCCCACTGTTTGCCTTCTCTTTGGGCTGCATAAGCCCAGTTCTCTCAGCTTCTCATCATGCTCTCTAGCCCCCTAACCATCTTGGTGGCCCTCCACTGGACTTGCGTGGGTTTGTCAATGTCTATCTTGTGCTGGAGTGCTGAAAACTGGGCACAGCACTGCAGTTGTGGTCTGACAAGTGCGAAATAGAGGGGAAGATTACTTCCCTGGACCTACTGGCTTTGCTCTTACTGATGCAGCCCATTGTGCAGTTATCTTTCACCACTCAACACTTCATCACTCCCTTTCAACTGGTCCCCAGGACCCTCAAGTCCTTTCCTGCCATTCTGCTTTCTATCCAGTCAGTGCCTATAAACTTGCATAACAGTCCATATACTGATGCATGAGGTTAGTCCATCCCAAGTGCAGGACTTTGCTGTTGACTCTGTGCTTCATGAGGCTGCTCTCAGCCTGTTTCTCCAGCCTGTGGAGATCCCTCTGAGTGGCAGCCTTGCCTTCTAGCATATCAGCCATTCACCTCGGTGTCATGTCATCTGCAAAATTTGCTCAGGAATGAGATTTTTCCTGTTTCCCCTCTCCATATCATTGCTGAAGTTTAACCAAATCCAGAAGAGTAGCTTAGTGAAGAGGAGTAACATTCACTTAGGCTGACATAGCTGATACCTGTGCTCACCTCAGCATAAGCTTAGCAGCTGCTCTGGCTAGGAGGGAAGAGTTTTCCTGATGGGCTAGCTCTGTCCAAGGACCAGGTACATTACGTGTAATTTGTTCAATCCTCCTGATCATTTGCTCCAGAGACTGAGTCTTGAACTAGCTGGGGCAACAAACTGTTCTAGTCTAGCTGCTATTAAGAGTCTGCATGTTTTTGTTTGTTGTTTTTATGCATTTAATATCCATTCAAGGCTAAATTGTGAAATTCTTGCTTTATCTTCACTCTTCAGAGCAAATTCTGTTTTAGTTATATTCTGAGTGATTTTTAAAAAAGGCATTATGCTGTAGCGTTTTACTTCAGTGACAAAATGAACCAAATGTTAGAAAGCTTTGCCTCATACGGGGGTGTGTAAATGCATACGTGCAAACAATGGTTTGGTTTCATCAGTCATCCGACTGCTCACTCTGCAGTGAAATTTTTACATGAAATCCTTTAACCTATCTGCATACTTATTGAACTGGAAGTGCAAACACTAAGGGTGTCTGGCAGGTCAAGAAGGAGGAAAATAACCTCTGATTTTCAAAAGGCTACTTGTATAGGAAGTAGAATCACATACAGTGGTTCAGTACATCATATGCAATACATATGCGCTTGAAGAGAATCACAGTATTTAGTTTTCCAGCATGAACAAGTGAAGTTGCTTGCTGAAGGAGCAAATGCCTGCTATAAAATGGGAAAGCATTACGCTGCCTGTGTTCACCTGCTAATTCTCTGACTATTTTTCTTTTTTCCACTCTTTTACAAAGAAATATATTCAAATCTTTATGAGGCTAAAAGAGATGATTAATTAGATAAATCCTGAGATTGTGCGTTGTAGAAAAGCTGTTAACTAAGCGCACATCCAGAGGGGAACTAGGTAGCGGTAAAAAGGGTTGTGGGCTCCCTTTGGTGGCAGGAGGGAAAGTGGAGAAGGGTGGTGCAGACGAGGGGTGGGAGCGTTGCGTGAAGGCTCATTGGCAGACAAAGGCAGGAACAGGATATGTTTCAGCTTGGGTGCCTTTGGGAGGAGCAAGTGTTGGGATTAAAGTGTCCTGATGAAGCTGCTCCTTTGCTTTGCAGACACAGACAGTGAGTTTCATGGGGTGGAATTTCTGCCAGAAGATCTCAGCGAGGCTCCAAACAAGACCGGAATGAGGGTGAACGAAAAATATTCCTGTCTACCCACTGAGGAGAAGGGGATCCACATTATCAACATCCGAGCTATTGAGGATATCGGATATGTCCAGCATGAAAGTACAGTGAGTAAAGGACTTACCAAATGTGTAATAGCTGATGTACTGCACTTTGCTCCATACCTTATGTCTATTTGCTTCTACTCCTAGGACTCTCTGAGATCCTCTCCCTTCCTATTTCAGAGGAAGTGAGGAGGACTGTCACCTGCCACCCTACATGCTGATTTAGTGGGTTTTACTGCTTCACATAGGGACTGAAGAAGGAAACCAAGGGCTCTTGTTTAACCTGTAGCCTAAAAGGGGTTGATTATTCTCAGATTAAGTAGTCTGGCACTAAGACTGTGGTAGCCTTTAAATCTCTTTGTCCATACAGAGTAGAGCCCACATGTCTAAAATTTCTTGCAAAAGCTATTGTTAACACAGGTAACATTAAACGAATAGTCTGAAGCATACAATAGAGATTTTTTTTTTCTTTCCACGGATAGATTTTCACTGTTATTAATTGTGCCTTGGTTAAACACCTTAACAGGAATTTTAAGGAAAGTCAGTGACATGAATGCCAACATGATAAGGAGTTGGTTATGATCATAAGCACATAAAAATGCATTTATTTAGGTGAAAGAATTGAGGTGGAGTGGGCTATATAACAGATCTTGCTGAGGAAATATGTAGCAGAAAGGCAATACTTTCTTCATCATGGAAACTGGTGCTTAATTAGGATTGAGTAGAGAGGAATAATGCCATTAGAACACAAATGCCCCTCTTCCTATTTTAAAACTAAAATGTCCTTTCTGTGTCTTTCATTTGCAATCAGTGAGACAGTGGGCTTATATAGTCTAAGTCAATGCATCTCTATATATTTCAGTGCAGCAGCACTGTAAGAAAGGATGTGGCTCATGAGTACCTTTCAACATTAATACCACATCCTTAAAAACCTCACCATTATTTATTTCAAACAGGACTGACAGGCTTCTTTGGACTCGTCATCTGTACCTCTTCAGCTGTGGGACATAGCTATTCTCATATATTAATAGATTTATTGAGACTATATCTTTAGTATCCACAATTTCCTAATTTTTCTCTGCTAAATACTCAGTGAGTCCCTATGAGGGTCAGCTTTTCAACAGGAAAGTTCAAAGAACTGCAAAGACTCTCGCCCAGACTCTGTAGTGTAACCTACCTACTTCTGGTGGTAGTGGCTCAAAGAAACCAAGAAACTAAACATTTTCAATGCTGCTTTTTTCAGCCTCTATCAAAAGAGTGCTCGAGGACAAGAAAAGTTGTGGCCAGAATGTACTGATCTCTCCTAATCTCCCTGAACAGTTATAAACATCTGGCAAACTTATTGCTGTAATCTTCAAGAGCCATCTTCAGTCCTGTCTGCTTCTGTTATTTATTACTCTCCAGAACAGACTTACTAATTGGTGCTGACTGTCCCTCCTGAAGGCAAGCCAATGAGGATAGGAAGTGCTTGGGATCTGATTTGTTTACCTGTTTTATCTTCCTGCATTTACCAAAACATCTATCAGTTGAGTCCAGTCTTTCAGAAATTGATGTTTAATTAATTAATAAGATCCACACATCTCTTTAAATTAAAGGCAGTTAATTATCTTAAAAAAAAATTCCAGCATTCCCATATCTTGTTTACAGCGACTATTCATTTTGAAGAAGCTTCATATCCTGAAAATCCAGTTAGTTTCTATTTCCTAATATTTTGCTTCTATAAAAAATTGCGCAACTGAGTTGCCTGCCACCGGGAAGCTGTCCACTTGCTTTAAAAATATTTCTGAATTCGCAGGTGCTTGCCATTCATCATGAAGCAATCAGAAAGGAAGAAATATTAGTATCTTCTTTATTATAGTAATGCATAAGAATTAAATGGGAATGTCTGGCTATGGCAGAAATACAAGGAGTCTGTGCCTTGTATGTATGTTTGTCTGCTTTGAACGTAGTGTTTTCATGGATAAATAGGATAGACGTGGAGCACAGGAAAGAGGGGATTGTGTAAAGATTGAACCCTGTGTTGGCAGCAAATACTATATTTGTTCCATTATTTTATTATGTATCTATATATTTGGAGCAGAGGGCATAGGCTAAATGGAAAAGAGGGCCAGGATCCTGAAGAAAAAAGAGAGAGTGAGGGACAGTGAAGGCAGGTATGGGACTAAGGTGAGATCCAGGGGACAAGAGGGACTGAAGAGATGGGACCTAGAGTCCCGCTGCCGACATATTGAGTCAGGTTTGAGAATGACGGATGCTCAGGTGTCTCTGCCGTGGCAGCTGCTGCTCTTGCTCTGCCCACTGACTGGCATCTCGGGCTGGTTGCTCTCCGTCATCCTTTCTCACAGTGATGTGGCAGGGAAGGGAGCAGAAACACCCTCCTAAACCTAGAGCCCCCTGTACAGAAATTTTTGGCACTGGTGCAAGTGTGGGACCTGGGACCATTTTGCACAGCAGAGCAATCCTTACTGTGGCCACTTCTGCAGCTTCTCCTCTCATCTGGAGTCAAGCAGTGGAATAGTGTTTATTGCGCTTTCCAGAAGTAAATGACATCTTCCCTTAAACCATGTTATCCCTGTGCTCTCACCTGATTGCGCTGGTCTGATTCCTTCTGTAGTGTGCTTCCACCTCTCCTTTCAAATCCGGAAAGCTAGGATTTGTTGCTTGAAGAAAAATCCAGCAGGATTTGTTGTCTGAAGTGAATGTTGCCTGAGTAAAAATTGCCTGAGGTTCAGCCATATATATATAATTAAGCAAAATGGCAGAATAAACTGTCCTTTAAAGGCATTGATTTATAGTTGTGGTGACAGGGACATGTCCTCCTCTAAGCAGCACTTAGAGAAGTGCATCAGGTTTGCGTAACGTTAGGATGATATTGCAAGTGGAACCTGCCCCCTGGCACCAAGACTCCTGTGGGCGTACGGGTATGGGATGCTCTTCTGTGGAATCAGGTGGAGAGGGCACAGCGACTGTTAGTCTGGAAAAATATGACTTCTCGTTTATCACACATCACCTTTTCTTATTATTTTTATAAGCTCTGGGGATGCTGTTTTGATGAAGTTTCAGGCATGTTGGGTCTGATATGCTGTACTGGAAGATCATAGGTTACTCTTTTCATCTGGGTTTTAAAAATTGGGCTTAGTGACAGCTGTTTGCAAATAACCTACATTCACAGCTTTAGTTATGAAAGGAGCAGAAGATCCCAAATGGATTTTGACCGGTATGATTTGCAACTGGTAGCCAACTGCTATTATTTGGAGCCAGAGTCCTTTTCCCTATATAGAGGCTTAAAATTCTTCTGTGAAATTAAAAGCCAGATAACGTCTCTGATCTCTGAAAGGTTACTGCTGTGATAAGTGTTTATTGTAAAAACAAATGCAAGTTAGTAGTCAATTTGCACTCTAAAAACAGTCCATGCATCTTCAAGGATAGAATTAGGAATTGTGAATGAAAAGTGGTTTTGAAGGCAGAAATCAATATTCGTTGATATTTTTGTATGTTTCTATGGTTGTCCTGTGTAGTTTTCAGATAAATACTTGAAAGTGAAGTTATGTTTTAAGCCTTACATTTCTTGCATCTTGCAATACTGCAGAGCAAATTTACACAGCAAAATGGAATAAAGCTTTTGCCACCATGAGATTGCAAAGAGAGGTGGGTTTTATAAGAGGGGAAGAAAGCGATGAACTCAGTAAGCAATGAATCCCCTTCCCTGGCTACAGCCCATTTGTGTTTTTGGCTGTGCTTCATGAGCAGCTGGCTCCCTTCAATCTGTATCTAAGATGATATCTTTCTCAGATGATACAAACTTGCAGCTATAGATAAGAGAAGTGAGAAATGCTTGCACATGATATTAATCTATTCGTCAGAACTGAAACACAGATGTCATAGGTGGAAAAGGACAGCTGATCTTAGTGGTGATTAATCCACAAAGGAGGATACCAAATCCACCAAGTAGCTGACTTATGAACTAGCATGCTGGTAATTAGATTAAATCCCTGTCATTCTATCTATTTATTTCTGGCCAATAAAATCCCAGGTGGCTAATCAGCAAAATTGCAGGTGTTAACTTGCAAAATTGTTTTGAGTGACTAGCACATGGGGGCTCCTCCTGTATGCTGGCTGTTTGGAGATGGGTCATTGTGTGCTCATGGCAAGAAGGAGTACTTAATAGAAATACATGGTTTGTTTGGTGTCTGTCAGCATGTGCACTAATTATTCTTCTTCCCCCTTCCTTCTTTCCACCCGTTCCCTGGCTTCTAGTTATTAAATTCTCTATCCAGAAATCCAGATGCGGACTGCAAATATGGACTCTACTTTAGAGATGGCAAGAGAAAAGTGGATTACATCCTAGTTTATCATTACAAGAAGTCTTCGGCAGGGAGGACGCTCACAAGGCGAATTCATCACAATGATTCAAGTGCCCGAGGCACCAAGCAGGATCAGCCGCTTCCTGGGAAAGGAGTGCATCTGGAGATGGTGGAAAATGAGCCTCACGTGGACTACCACGAGGACGACAAGAGGTTTCGCCGGGAGGAGTACGAAGGAAACCTCATGGAGGCTGGTCTGGAACTGGAACGAGATGAGGATGTAATGAACCATTTCCAGCAGTTAAAGAGAGGGGAGATAACTGATGGCCAAATCCTGGGAGATGCTGAGCAGGTTCCTGTGAACCTGATTCTAACCAAGGTTGCACAGGCTCAACACTGCCAGGATTTGCTTTCAGGCTTGCAGAGTTGTCCTTGCACTCGATGAAATTCGCTTCACAGGAATAGGCCCAATGTTGGTAATGCCCCAGCAGGGTGAGGTTTCTCACTTGGGAATCTGCTTGGCTGTAGCAGGCTGTGGCACATCCATTATTGCAACACAGGTTGTTGACATTTTACTGTATCTGGCAGTGAGACTTAAACTGCTCTAAACGCTAATCTAAGTTTGGTCAGTTTGCAGTATGCTGTCGTTCGGGTCCACCGGTAATTCTAACTCTACTGACAAAAAAGTCTGATAAAGGCACTGAAATTTTTATACCTCAGTATAGCCTTCAAGAGAATGAAATCTGTTCAGGAGGTTTTAGTAAATGCTCTAGTATGGATCTAGCATGGATCTGTGTTACAATTTGTTTCTGCATTCTTAGATACCATCAATACAGTCTATAACTCTTTTCACTTGAACCCCGAAAACAGTGGGGGCTATTAAAAGACTATTAGGCTATACAAAAAATGGTGTGTGAAGTCCTGCCAGTGTGTGATTAGTAGAAATAGCCACAGCCATATTAATTTCAAAGGACGCTATTACAATTAAGTGATTAAACCATTATGCTTGAAATTATTGTGAGAGGGGATAAACATTTCTGTTAGTTTTTTTAAACAGGATCTACAAGTTGAGGCTAAACATCTAGATCTGTGGTCGGAGTGTTTAAAAAAATAATAAATATGTCTGTTACCTATTATTTACAAATTATAGATAAAGCCAATGGTACAATGTAAAAAACTTGTATTTCTTGTCCCCAGGTGTAAATAAGAACTGCTTTCTGTCCAACTTAAATTGCTGTAGGAAATCGGAAACCCTCTTGTGCTAAGTCACAGAGATTTAAAAATATTTACAAGATAGGAGGTCCCCGCTTGTGCCAAGCAATACGATTTCAAATGATGCAGAAGGCCTCTGAGTTCATGCCAGGACACCATAAACACCTGTCCTAGGGAACACTGTCCTTTCAATAGTAGATATCAAAACAGATCAGAAATGTATGGAGACCAAAGCCCTGGGGATTTGCATCAGCTTCCTTGTCCAGCATGTCAGCGTAGGGAAAAAATCTGCAATCAGATGAGCTTGAGAGGCATGCCATCAAATTGCATTGGAGGCCTTACTCATTGCAAAAAGAGCAAATATTTCTTAAACAGATGATGTTTACTAAGTCACTTAAACTCTTTGATGAAGTAAATTCCGAAATGGTTTTGAAGCTGTGCCATATTTGAGGGCTGGCAGTTATTTATGGCCTCTGAGTAATGGATTTCTAGAAAGAAGGTGCAGAGTACTGGTATCTGAAAACCAGTTATTATAACTGCCTGAATTTGTAGAACAGCATGACTGGAAAGTTTCATTAAAGTTTCTTACTATTCTGTTTGCTGAATGCCTGTTAGTTTGATATCATTTATCCATTGTCTTTGAAACGATTACTCCCACGGGACTGGCAAACAAGTACAGGTATATTGGAGAGCGCTGGCAGCAAAAGCCCAGACCCATGCGTCTGGAGCAGAGCTCAGATAAGTCGTAGGATCCAAGCGTACTGTTAATATTATCATTAATTTTTTTAAAAAATTCTTCCTACTAATTTTCCCAATTAAAATGCATAATGTTTTCACATAGATATTCCCATCTGCATATGAAGCATCTTTTCTTCTCTTTTACTGCAGTTCTGACCCTTCAAGATATGGGCAACTTTGGAAGCAGTAGGGACTTTCTCAACTCCATTAATTACGAAGCACTCAAGAAATCATGGCATTTGGCTGTATGCCTGTGATTCACATTTAACTGGCTGAGTCTATATGTGTGTCCATAGACATTAGTCTCTGTTTCCCAAACAATTTTTATCTTCTCTGTTTAACCTTGTGATAATTGTTTTGGAAGAGAACGGTATTTGTGATGGGAGCATTTTATAGCGGCTCAGCATGAGAGAGGTTTTCAGTGATTGTCCTGTTGTTAGAAACTAGTTGTTTCAAACAAATGAGATTGATAGCATTGTCTGCAATAGACCATTTGTTCCTTAAATACAGTTATAACACAAGGGGGAGGAAGTATTTAATTTTCTCTTATTAGTAGCATTGTCATTTTTTCTCTTCCTTTTTTTTAAGACTAAAATCCATGGGGTTGGATTTGTAAAAATACATGCACCGTGGAATGTGTTGTGTCGAGAGGCAGAATTTCTTAAGCTCAAGATGCCTACAAAAAAGGTAAGTACTGATTTTCCTTTTTTTTTTTTTTTCCATCTCTTTTTTTTTTCCCCCTCTGGAAAGCAGAGTTCAAATGTACGCTTATCTTTGTGCACCTAACAAATGTAGACTTTTCTTCCCCCAAGCATTTTTAAAATAGTTAACTAATCTTCACAGATGATCTGGCACGGTCAGTATTCCTCTTGTATTTAAAGAGAAAATGAGGTGGAGGCACTAAATTAGCACGACAGAAAAAAATAACTAGAGGGAAGAATGGACATCAAGAATTCTTGGCTCCTGCACTGTCTGTGCATGATGCAATGATTTTGTATAATGCTTCATCCCCTCAACACATTTGAAAAGAAAAGGCTGCAACTGCTGATGAGTTTTACAGGTGCATTTTGGAGAACGTTTTTCTCACCCGTAAGGCTAGACCTCTGGAAACGAATGTAAGAGTCATACTTTGTGTGCACTGGGTTTAGAGGACTATTCATGTACATCGTTAGTCATGTTTGCAGGAATTAGAACTAAACTACCACAAAATAAATTACCTTTCAGAATATTTGAAATATCATTAAAGAAACTGTAGTATATTTTCATCAGAGGCTAAATTCTCAATCATCTGTGATAGATAGCTACCTGTTCAGTGAGCATAGCTTAGAGATGGATTAATACTTAATGATGTACTAAGTGCATGTCCCAGACTACAGAGAGAAGTCTATAATGGAACAAGAGACAGTCTCAAAGCCCAATGTCATTTATTACAAAACTAAAACCATGCTTTTGGTTTGGATTTTGTATCAATGTCCATTATTACTTCACTTATCACCAATTTTAATCAGAAGTGTAATTAAAGTAAATCAAAAAGGCCTGTTGTGCTCATGCAGTTAGCAAAGCTGTTTTGCCACTGAAGAACAGTTAGGGTGGGCTTTTTGGCTGGTTGTCAAAGAGGCTGCAGGACCTTTGTGCGTAGCCCAGGAGAAGTGAGACATGAACCCAGTGGTGTCTGTGAGAGTCAGCTCAGACCTAAAGCCCTTTGTCGAGTTATCTCCCCATTGTGGGAGCCCTGCCTGCGAGCTGAAGATAAATGCTGTTGCTCAGACTGAGAAGCTTATAATTTTCTTCTGTGACCTGCTGTCACAATTCCTGTGTCTTTGGTACTTGTTGTAGCACTGCAGAACTGCAGTAGACTTAGTGTCTTCACTGTTGTTGAAGGATGTGCAAGATGCTACAGTTCCTTTGGGGAACCGTAGTACGCGTCATTAATTTTCCCCCATAAGGGGTGAAACTCTTGAAACCTACACAATATTCACCTGAAAGCCCCTAATACACCATGGAGAGGCAACTACTTTTCTTGTTTTGTGTGGGGTGTTTCTGTAGCTGCATTTGTCCCAGAAGACACTAAATGCTAGAGGAGTCGGTGTCTCAGGAGCAAATACAGAGTTTGTCTCTGTGGAGCACCCCAAGCTAATTAGTTGGAATTGAACAAGGGCCAGGCCTTGGCTCTGAGAGAATAAATAGACTTCTTGTGTTTGCCTCAGTTTGACTTTTTCAATCCATCTTTGTGTTTCTGAATGTTTTCAAAGAGGTAAGCTACACTTCTCATTACTTTGTTGTATTTATTTAATTGATGTTTTATTCCTTACAGCTCAGTCTCTTATGGGTAACTTTAAAGTTTTACTGTTTTTTCTGTTTGTTTTTACCTACTCAGATGTATGAGATCAACCAGACCCATGGTCTTCTGAAGAAGATTAATTCTGTAATTCAAAAAATAACAGAACCCATCCAACCAAAAGTAGCAGAACACAAACCGCAGACAATGAAACGCCTCTCCTACCCGTTCTCCAGAGAGAAACAACACTTGTAAGTCTAAGCCTCATGTAAATATTCATGTCAACAGGTCCTAGCCTTTCTGATATCAACAGAGGCACGAAGAGGTAAAGAAAAATGAAAGCCAACACTTTGCTAAAGATTACTATAAAGAAGATTTCTTCCATTTTGCAGTAATTTTTTTTTTTTTGCTCACTGTTGGGGAATGAGGCTTTGTAGAGCCACTCTGGGAAATCTGTGTGGATTTTAGAGACCGTTATGGTATAGTATGGTATATATTACATACTGTATAAGAATACAGATATACTTTTAGGCTGCAAAACAAAATTAATAACATAATGTGGTTTACAGTGGAATTTTCTGGCATAAAATAAATTTCTCAATAAAACTTGTAGGCAGAGGCATGGGTTGATAAATTTAAGAATAATCTCATTCATCTTGGATGAGCACTCACCTAGACATATACTGCAAACCAGCGCTTCTTTTTTATGTGGTATAAAGTCAGTGGTAGCTTTGTCATTGGTTTCAATGATCAGAGCAATAGAACAGCTGTAAATGTGGGTGTAAGACAAAATCCTAAGGTGGGGCTTAGCCAGAGTTTCACCTGCCCTGGATTGCTTTGCTGCTGCTCTTCCTTGGATAGCATCCCAGAGGAGAAGCTTTGAAGACTGTGTTTATGTATGTGCCAGCTGGAACAGTTAACAGTCCTAAGGCAGGATTTCTTCACTGTACATATGTTCTTTTTTTTTTTAATTAAGGGACACAGAACACTAATGGAGTTGTGTATTAGGTACATCTTAGAGGGACCAGTGACAATGCACGTGACATTTCCTGCAAACCTAAGAATATGTCAAATGTGTCTATATATTTTTTGCATGTGGGATGTTCCTACAGCAAAACAGCCTGTTGGCTTACAGAAAGCCCACATGATGATCCTTAGCTTAGGCTAGGACGTGCCTTACACCGGTTCCAGTGCTGGCTGTTTTCGGTGAGGCCCCCTGCGTATTACTGAGCGAGGGAGGACAGAGTGGCCTCACAGGGCTGCAGGTGCAGCCCAGGTGAGAAGTTATGAGAAATTCTAGGCCAGCAGCAGGAGGAGTTCAACTAAAATGAGCATCAACAGCCTCTTTTGTACAGAAAAACCTAAATATATGAAACCAATGAAACAGATAAGCAGCCTCTTTAAAATATGAGAGTTGGGATGGACTTTCTTTTTAATGAGGTTTCTACAAGGTACTCTTTAATGTTAACAGTGAAGGATCCCCAGGAGAAATGAAAATATTGAAGAGGTCAACAAGAGCAGGAAATTACTGGCATTTTTTAACCTAATGAGCTTCCTTCTAATCTTTTAACAGATTTGATTTGTCTGACAGAGATTCCTTCTTTGACAGCAAAACTAGAAGCACTATAGTAAGTACTGTGTATAAATAATTTATGGTGGATAGTGTCTTAATCATGATGTTAATAGCCCCTTTGCCAGCTTTAGCACAAGCCCATTACAAGTTTGTCTTTCTTTACCAAATGCCAGGAATTGCCTATGACATCAATTATTTAAATGCTAAGAAAGCATTTCCAGCTCTAGCTTATATGATGAATCGCATTTGATACAAACAGCTTGCCCCCTTTTGTAAAATAATTTAGATCCTCTTTCTAGTTCACAGTTGACCTGGGACATAGTTTCCTACTAGAGATATCACTAGAAAGGAGTAGATTCAGATTCTGCCGCTGGGTCTGCCAGTAGCTAACTGGAAAAGCAACTGTAGACCTCTGTGTATAGTTGCAAAGGGGTAACCAAGACATTGCTGTTCTTATAAAGTGTTCCGAAATCTCCCAACAAAAAGTGCAATGAAACAGCCGGGTATTAACAGAGAATAGTATTTATAATTTTTATGCCAGTTTGAGTTAGAGACTGATGTTAAATGTATTGGGGTTTATGTGTTAACGTCAAAATTTACATTAAGCAAACCCAGCAAGGACAGAAAACTGCAGCTTGTTCTGGTTGGCTATTTATATATCTGTTAGGCAACGTTGTATCACAGACTGTGTTTGAATACTTTCTTGTGACTTACAGAACACAAAATAGAAGGGGAGATAAGGTTTGCTCTCCCCTCTAGCCGCTGAGGGAGTAGCTGTAAAGAAAGCTCATGTGACGTCCGGGGCAGGTGGACGGGATTATGCCGAGCAGAGTACTTGCTGCAACACTATTGCAAAGTCAGTTATGGACTCTTTGGCCCATTGGTCTGCTGGTGATCAGTGCGTAGGAAGGTGACTGTGAGCGAGTCGCCGTCTGAATATTTAACTTTATTCTTTCGGACGCTAAGTGGTTTTGAGAAGAACTTGTATCGCGTTATGGCTGCCTCTTATTGCTTCAGTGATAACAGATGCAAGATTTCTAGCTTCTTTTTCCTCCTTTGAAGCTTCAACGTACGGGCCACCGTGATGTAGTTCCCCTGTCATTTGAAGTGCAGCTTCTGGCTTGAATGCAGATTATCACAGCGAGGGGAATTTGACCAAGCTAGGCAGATTCAGCAGCATAGAAATGGAAGGAAAAAGACAAACATTGAAGTGATTTATTTGCACAAAACCATTTCATTTGAGATTGAAAAAAATTGCTTTTGTTTGCAGACTTTCTCTTACACACCTAGAAATATAGTTTAAAAAACTTGAAGGAGTACTAATGTACTGATAAGAAACCTAAGAGAGGAAGTGAAGAGTTAAAATCCATGAGAACAAGCTGTCTGAGAAAGTCAGCAAGACAAAACGGCACCAAAGGACAAAAGGGTGAGCCACCCAGACTAACCGGACACGGGACAGAAACACTGGAGCTAAGAGCAGAGGGAAGGAGGGAGATGAAGGATTTTTTAATTTTTTTTTTTTTTAACCACTGAAGAAACAGTGACACATAACAGTAATAGATAGTGTGTTGCTTTGTTGGAAATCCCTGCAGGTAACCTAGTAATAAAAGGCATATTGAGTGTTTCTCGCGCAAATTTTTTTTCTGTGTGCATTTTTCTTTCTGTTCTGGTTTCTTACAGTTTTATTCTGCCTTTCCAATATGTATTTTTCAGTCACAGTGCAAATATTTACCCTTCCGCTTACTGCAGAATGAACAGGAATCTAGTCACTCCCTGTGAGTCTGTTGAATGGAACCTAAGCCAAAGAGCTTTTACTTATTTAAAAAAAAAAAAATATTTTATATAACTGAAAATATCTCTGTGACAGCCCTTTAACTCACTCCAGGTAAAACATAACACGAGGCAAGCTGTGAGGCAGATGAACCACGGGGATTGCCTAGCAGGCCCTGGTCGCTTCCCGCTGTGCCGCTGGCCCGTAGCTGAGTTGCCACCTGGCTGGAGAGGCGAGAGGCGTCTCTCATCCATTCCTTGCCCACCTGGTCCAAAGTGGCAAATGTGTGTATGTGGCAGGCCGAGTAAGCACACAGGTTAATAAGCATCCCAAGGGAACCGTTCTCCGAGTCTCCGGACAGATGAGGAAAAGGGCAGGATGTGCATTCGCTCACACCGAACACCTCCGGTTTCCTTCTGCTCCCACCGCGACCCCAGGCTGGCGCAGCGCGGCGTTGCCTAAAAGCACATCTCTTCAGCAGAGCAGCACAGGGTGAAAGTTTAACCTTTCAAGCGGTGTGATAAAATGTACAAAGGTTATTTCACAATAAACAAAATAAATCATAAGATAAACGCATCTGCGTTGCCACCAAGATCATGCAAACTAAGAGATTTTAAGGTCAGCTTGTTTTATTTAGTCCAGTTTCTGATAAACTGCTGCATACTCAGAGATACGCATAAGCATTATGGGTCTGAACCACTGGCAGTGAGATGTGCTTAGCTCTGTTGAAGTTAGTGGAGCGAAGCCAACTTGCACCATCAGAGGCGAGCCTGGTGCACTGTTTACAGCCAAATGCCGGATCTGATCCGGCTGGAAACATGTTTCTGGTCTTTGATTGATGTCTTGTCTAACAGGAGTGAAATAGTATTTCTATGAATTGAATGGTTAAATGTAATCCTGTTTCCCTCAAACAAATGACAATCAAGTGTCTTGGTAACTGGTTGTTTAGTTCGGCCTTTCTCTCTTGTACAGATACTGCGTATGAAAATCTTTAAACTCTGCTCTCCCGAATGCTGTGGCTTTTATTAAAGAATGATGACTTCCTCAACATCCTGGTTTTGCCAATACTTATATTTGAGCTGCACACAGAAGGATTTTGCTTTTCGCTGGCAGTATCTGAAGTAACCCTTTCCTTTCTCTTGTTTTATTGTATAGGTTTATGAAATACTGAAAAGAACAACATGTACCAAAGCAAAATATAGCATGGGTAAGGCACTTTATTTATGTTTAAGATTGGTATCATTTCAGGTATTGAAAATAGTTACAAGTTGTAGCTGGCTGTGGAGTTTAGGGTTTTTCCCTGCTCTCTAATTTGATGTACATGGATATAATTGCTTTATTTCAAAATTTAATCTAATTAATGTAGCTAATTGGATTTTTTTTTTCAAATGTGAATGCGGATTCAACTCTAAATTAAATGGTAAGTGAGCATAGCCCCTGCAGGTGGTAAGTAGGTCTTTTACACCAGGACTTGGAGATAATATAAAACAGTAAGATATGCCAGAGGAAGCGGAAAATACGTGCTTTGCATTGTTTCAGTTTTACACTCGCTGAAATGGATGAGAGCATTACCATGGATTTCAGTAACTGAGATGAAAGCATGTAGGTTGGTCCAGTCTCTTCACTAGTGTCCTAAAATTTTAATCACAGGGTGGTTTTTCAATCAGTTGAGTGAGGGAGTCTTAATAGATGACTGTCCAAAATGCCATTGTATATTGAACTGTGACTAACCCAGTAAAACAGCCAGGGACTGAGGTGTCATTGAAATTTGACTGATCTGTTGGCCCTCAAAACCATTGTTGCAGGTCAGTGGATGTGAAGTTTGTACTGCCATGGCCCGTAGCTGTAGGATTTCAGCCTTAGGCCTTGGGTTCTAACAACTAACTTCGTAATAAGGAAAAACATGAATTGCAGATCAGGTCGCCTGAAAGAATCACTAGCCACTTTTCCTATTCGTCTGTTTTACAGTTTATTTTAAGCATGTTATGAGTTGTTATAGGTATATATTTGGTTCTGGCACCAAAGTTAACAAACAGTTAACAGTAAACCAAATTATATAAGGTGGAGGGCTGAATTTCCTTGTGGCCAATCTTAACAACAGACAACCAATGGAAGCCAGTGTGGATGAGAAAAATGCATGAACATGAAAGAAAATATTTGATAACTTGGGATCTGTTAAACTGTTTATTTACCTACAAGCAGTTAAATAAAACAATGAAAACTTGAATTACAGGTAGTTCTGTTCAATATTGACCCATAAGCTGCTTAGAAATCCGTCAAATAATAGAAGAATAATTGTGCCAAAAGTGACTTCCATGCTTTGACTTTTCTGTTAAAGTAACAACATACAATGTACAATTGTTGAGTCCTTATATACACTAAATTTACTTGGTGTTCAGCCAGTATTAACAGAAGCACTGTTTCCTGTAGCCTGGGAAATTCAGATTCGTTTGTGATTTTCAGGACCCTGTTTTGAGTTTGGTGCTGGATCATTTTAATTGGAAATTATGCATTTGCACCCCTAAAAGGGAAGGGTTGTAGAGCTCAATTTGAATTACTGCCTTGGAGTTGGTAACTCGCTTTCTTTTTTTGGTCCAGAAATGGGAAACAGAGGTCTACTGAATAGGGCAGAGACTAAAGGAATGGGTATAGTCAGCATAACTCAACTGGGTCCTTTGTGTTCCAGCACAGGAACGCTGGGTTACAACCCAACAAAGGTTTCAAACAGATTTGAGCAAACACAGATAATGCTGCAACATTTCTGTCCAGCAGGAAAAAGGCAGCTGCACAGTGAACGCTACAGTCTTTGTTATTTATTTTGCAAATTTGTGAAAAAGTGAATATATCTTAATCTTTTAAGACTGATATGTAGAAGGGTGTTGAGTAGCTCTTTGGTAGCACAGCCCTATAAAATTAATTTATCTGCTCACCAGTTGATTCTGTCCGACATGTGGAAACATTTGCAGGCAATTCATAGTGCTGTATAATCTTGAGCAGGAGTTTTAGAAATAACGATACTGCAAGATTCAGAGCATTGCTGGAGCAATTCCTCCAGCAGGTGCTTACTATCTTGAAAATGTTAGTGCATTTGAAAATCCTCCCTTCAGAAATAATCAAAAATGTCTTCTGAACCTACAGTGACCTGTTTCCTGGTTCATACTCACTGTTCTTTCAAATCTAGTCCCATCCTGTTGTTAGCAATGAACTAACAGGCAACATGAAGCACACTGTAGCACATTGTTTTGGTTTTCTTTTAAATTCTCCACAGTGCCAGTGGCCAGATTTTTTTTTTTTTTGATGTTAATCAGCTTAGCTTTGCTCAGATAGAGCTACTTGACTTTGTGCTAACTGGCCTGAAATAGCCCAGATTCAGTACCCAAGGCTGGTAGGCAGAATCACCAAATATATCTTCATAGGTAACGCGGCACATTGAGATGTGGGTAATACCCCGTTACTGGCAATAGCTGTGTTGGTGCCAACAGTTGTAACAGGACGTTATTCGAGAAGTTGCGTACTGCAGCCCTCCGAGGTTTAGGTCCAGCCCAGAAACCTTTGGGATTTCTGCAGCAAGCTGAGATTTCAAAGGGCCCCTCATGCGTTGTGCTCACCCAACTGCACACGTGACTTCTCCTGGTCCACCTTCACTTCCCTTACTTGGTCCCGAAGGATAAGGAGTGATACCAGACCTGAGAAGGCAAAACTCCATAGAGTCCCTTATGCCACAAACATTTTGTAGATGAAGCATTTGCTGCTTTCAGGCTCATGCATGTAACTAATAAACGGATGTGTAAACAGGGAAAGGAGAGGGAAGAAAGAAGGAAACTACACTTTTAAATAAAAGACGAAAATGTGGTAAATATGGTAAAAAATTCCCTACAATTTCTCTAATCAATCTGAAAACTTAATTCAAAACTTTGTGTGTATGATGAGTTTGTATGTGTGTTCCCGTATGCCATCAATTCCAGCCATATTCTTCTTGTGATCGAGCCTTCTGCTACACACTTTCAAATCTGCAGGCTTGCCCTTAAATCAAACTGACTTTTCAGAAAATGTAATCTATTATAATGACTAATTCCAAGTCATTGGCTTCTAATTCTTGATTCTCAAATATATATGACTTCCTCTTGCTCTCTGCAGTTTTCCATTTCATGAAGTGAGTCATGTTTAATAACCTATATGATTAAAAATGAAAGTACATGGAGAGGAATGAGATGGCAGAAAAATCATTATCTGACCAAATGACTGTTATTTTGAGGGAAATCTCAAGGAAGGAGGATAAAGTGAGACTGTCTAACCTCGAGATTGTGAATAACTATCGTGTCTTTATTTTTCAAGGGATCACCAGCCTGCTTGCCAATGGAGTTTACAGTGCTGCATATCCTTTGCATGATGTAAGTGATCTTGGAATACAATTTATAAGCCTACTATCTGACACCAAGAAATCCTTAATGAGTTACATACTAATGACGTCATCCCAAACATTAGTGTTTAGGAGCCTAATTTCCTGCTCACTTTTATGATGATTGCAACAACTTCTGCTGATTGTTTCCATCGCTATGTTTGCTTTTAATGAATTTGCCACCTCTGCTCTACCCTTGATGATCATAGGTGATGTTTTACCATAACATTAGAACAGTTGTTTTAGTGGCTTAGCAAATGAAATGCTTGTGTTAGTTTTTGACCTTCTGTTCCCAAGGCCTCTGGCATCACTGCTAAGATACATAGTTATTTCTGTGGCACTTCTGGCATTTCTGTGGCTAGTTTCCTGATCTGAATCTTCCTGGCATTCCCTTGCAAATAAGGAGATGTCAGTGACTGTCTCTGTGTGGTTAGTTGCCAAGGGGAAAAAACATGAGCTAGAATTCAAAGCGACGTTTTTCATGAGGTTGGATATTCCTGTAGACCTCGTTAGTGTTGAAATCTGCATTTGATCAGTTCAGGAAGATGTCAAAATATGTGAAATTGTAATGTTTGTTGAAACCGAGAGGATTAGAGACAAGTAGGGAATTTTGGTGGCCTTCATACCTGAGTTTGATATCCCTATCCTGTCATAGTAGAGTGGTAGGTAGCAACTGGATGCTGATGCAGTTTTACTCATAATTTCAAGGTGTGACTACGACTGGAAAACATGCACTCTCAGCTAGACCCTTACGGAAGCGATTAACAGGTATTGAGGGGATGTCCTAGTAATGCTGCCCTTAAGGTACTGGTTGGGAAAGTGTATAAAGAATGCTGAGTCTGATGCAGGCTTTACAGATGTTTTTCCAGTGTGTGGAAGTGCAGGAACGCAGAAATGAGGTGTATCTTTTTAGTTTTCTGCTCATTTTCACTGTTTTTATGCTGGAACTTTTACACTAGCCATAAATGTTTCATCTCAGAGTAACTGAGATGAACAGGCTCTTTGCTTACCTGATGTTTATCATGAATGTCAGGCGCTCCTTCTTAAACTACAATGATATAATTTACAAATCCAAAACAGTTAAATAAACTGCTCTGCATGTGCTCGTTTAACGTCTTTAGATAGCTACTGATATATATAACTTATTTATTGTCTTAGTTTGCTCCTTTATTGTATTTAAAAATAGCTCCAAATTAAAACCTCAAATCTAATCAGCCCTGAATGTTTAGAGGGTCTGGATATGGATCAGCTCTCTGCTGGGCTCTTCTCTTTAAAGTGGACTGAGCTGAACCCCAAACGCCACGGAAATACCACATCCTTTCCCTTGACATTTTTAGGCCACCTTTATCACTTATTCATTCCTTTTTCCACCATGACAGACGTTATTACTCTTTCTTAATGTGCTTGATGACAGAAGACAAAGTGTGCTATGACAAATGAACTCCTAAAATACAGCATTGTTTTACAGATTGCTTTTCTGTTTTTGATGCATTAAGTGAGTGGGATACATGGGTATGCAAGATGCATAGCAGCTCTGGGTGCGACTCGCTGGATGACTCAAATTTTCTTTTTTTAAAGGGTGACTATGAAGGTGAAAACGTTGAACCTAATGACAGAAAAGTAAGTTGATATAAGGGATTTCGGCATGTTTGCAAGTGTCTCAGCCTGAAGTCACCTGTTGGAATCTGGACATTTGACAAGATTTCACAGCAAATACCATGGAAAGGCACCAAACGCCATGCAGTAGAAGTACTTAAGTACTTTTCAGTTTTTAAATCTGCCCCAGTGTGGAGTGCAGTATTGATACGTATAAATTACCAAGCTGATAGTGGTACACTTCTCTCCACGTTGGTAAGAGTGTTGGTAGCATTTACATACAACTTCTCCTAAAGTTTGTGTGATGTAATTTCAGGCCAGATCTGATGAGAATATACTCAGCCATAGTCTGATATCCATATGTGACGTAAATCCTGCTTCACTCCACAAAGAGCTCTGACTTAAGCACTCCAACTTCTGGTGAAATAATCTGCTAATCTGTCCTAATCTGAGTGGGAGAATCAGAATCAGGCCTGTGGGGGAGCAAAGAGGGAATCAAAAACATAAACAAAAAAATGATAGAAGGATAAAGATTGTCGTATTTCTGATAAGTATTCATTCCCTTGTACCTCAGCTAAGTTCTAATATGTGCTGTTCAACCAGAGCCTGCCCCGTGGATGTATACTGATGCACATGTATCACTTTTTACCTAAGTCTGTAGTTTAAACTGTGTGGTTTATGGGTTGTTTTTATTGTCTATACGCTGAAAGACATTCATTTACTGTAGTAAAGCTGGTAGAGATTATTGTAAGGAAATGCTATTTGTCAGAAAATGCCAATTTATCTATGCTTTGCAGCAAGGTTGATTTCCTAAGTTCAGCACGGAAGTAATACATACTTCTGATCACACTTTTCCAAAGAAGACATGCACTTTTTTCTGGTCAGCAAACAAGACCTGAAGTAGGGAGGCTAAGACCAGTTCTCTTGGGAGAAGTTGCTAAATAACGGTGCTATATGTTTTGGGCTCTTGGACTTGAAACACGCTAACTTTGCTTTCAGGCTTGCTTCCTGGTCACATCTCCAGAGGAAGCCTGTGGAAAAGTGTGGAACTCAGGGCATATGAAAAGCAGATCTAAAGCCCTCCAAGTTGGCTATATAAAAATAGGCACCCAAAAATAAAGGCTTATTGGTTGGGCCTTAAGGTGTAAGTGGCTCAGCAAAAGCCAGCTACTGTTGTCAGCAACAAAGCTAAGAACCAGGTTCCTGATTTTCAGGTCTAGGAACAACTTTTTTCATTCTTTCTTTCTTTTTCTTTTTCTTCCCTCTGTTGATTTACCTTGAAAATACCACGTATGTGTCATTTCATTATTAAGCAATACGTTGCTCAAACAAAAATAGGTTCAAAATCTACATTTTATCAAAGCATCTGGAGTATCATCTTTGTTACTAACTTTCAAAACCTCATGAATTCACTTATTTCACAAGTTCACTGTGTGTTTTCAAATGTTTACCTTGGCTTTTGACTTCTAGTTCCTTCAGATAATCTTTTGACATGTTTTGGCATGTCTCTTCTGGCTTCTTGAAGCTTTTGTTAATCTAATCAAGTGCTAGGCCAGGCAGTGCCTTTTTTACAACAAAATTAAAGATTTGAGGCATAGAAATGAAGTAAATGTTTAGGGCTAGTGTACTGATTTCCTATAATCATGTATTTGAAGCTGTGCTTTGAATATCAGGCTGATAAGTGTCAGAATAAATGAGATAATGCATTTGTATTTTAACTACAAACATCTATATTATCTTTATGTTTGAAGTGCTATACAAAATTGAAAAATGGCATGGATGCAAAATCTCCTTAGTTCAGTACTTTTCTGCTATACTTGACCAGCTTAGGTCACTGAAAAAGGATCTAATTTTCAGCACAAACCTAGACTGTAAAAAGGAAACAAATAGTAAAAGGATAATCTCAGCTAGTGCACGTGAATGTTGAGGGATCCCAAAGCATCAGTTGTTCCCCAAACATAGAGAGTTGATTGTGACCTGTAGGAAATATGGTTGAAAGAAATCTCAGTATATTCTAAAGCAGAGTAAAAATAACGTTTTCAAGACTTTTCTCCCTTGTTCCATAGAAGTTGCTAAGGTAATGGGAGAATATACCTGGTGGTCAGTGAGCACCATCTATTTTATCCAATATTTTTTGTACATACATGCATGCTAATTTCTTGTTTGCTCCGTTGACTTGAATTTAAAAAATCAGATCTGAGAAGTACTATTTGTATATTTTACAAAGTAAAAGATAAGTTGAAGGTCTCAGAAGAACTTATTTTCGTGAGGGATTCAATTTTATAAATGGCTAAAGGGGATTGTTTTTTTTCCTTGGCCCATATCCTAACTAAAAGAAAGCATCACGTTCTTCTGAACAGCTCTTCAATGCAGCCTTCAGGGCACTTCTGCACATTTCCTCTTGATGGATGCTGAATATTAGTATAGTGAAAACAAACCCGTTTATTCAAGTTCATTTTGTCTAACAGCTCAAAGCCTATTCATCCTTTGCATCTGTTCTGCTAAACACCTGCTACAAATCATAAAATCAGGACTACCCTCCCCATCTCTCTGTAGTAGTTATCCATCAGCCCTGTTGCTGAAGAGCCTTTTAATGCACTAGAACGCATCACTTTATTATAGCATGCCAAATCATCAAATTTTATTTTAATGCAGACTGCCTGTATTGGCGGACTGAGTTATATGTTGAAACCACAAGGTGGTGAGACGACATCACAGCGTGAGCTCTGCAGTTTGCTAGAACAAGAGGAGAAACTGGTCATTTGAAGTGCTCTGGCTTTAGCTTTTCTTTCTGTTTTGCAGCTCCTGTGTGAGGAGTGGGCAAGCTATGGAGTCTTTTATAAGTATCAGCCTATTGACCTGGTGAGGTGAGAAATGCCAGTGTAATGTTTTGCTTCCAACTTTGCTTTAAAGTTATGTAAACTAATGCTTTATTATACATGCTGATGTGCCTGCACACACTTCTGTCCTTGGGTACTACCCAGTGGGGCTCCTGAGAATGGAAAGTTCCCTGGCATTTAGACAAAATCAGCAATTTTCCATGGGTTTAGAAACAAGCTGCTGTGTCCCAGATAGTGTGAAGGCTTGCAGGGGATGGGGCAGGAGCAGGTGACTGCTGCCTGTGGTGACTCCCCATCTGGAACAAGCAGTGGTCTCCCCGTGGGGAGGGAGGACACGTCTACGCTGGGCCGCGGCACATGGTGCCGAACTCCAGAAAGACTATAGCGCAGTGCTGCAACCAGGTCATGGTGTTTAATCGGTGTATATGCAATTAACTTAAAGGAAATGAGGCAAACTGGGCTAGGTGCAGAAGAAAGTTGACACGCCAGCTCTGGAGCTCAGGCAAATAGGGCTAAGTCAGGGATCCTGCACCACAGTTTGCACAGTATATGCACACCCTCACAGTGCTTCTCGGTTCTGGCACTTCAGCACTTCATAGATTGTGGGATATGCAAAAAATGCGAAAGAACTAGAAAAAGACGCATTTATTGAGTTGTGCTATTGCAGCATCATACTTGAGTGATTTCAGACAGAAGTTACACTTGGGCTGGTAGTTCTGTTTTAATTAATAGCCCAGCGAGAATGAAGTCACACTCCCCTATTCTAGATTTCTGCCGGCTTGCCCCACACATCTAAAATCACAGCACAGCTCGGAAGTTTTAGGTGCTCAGAAGAGTGCAGGATTTCAATATTCGCAAATAATTCTGTTAGCTCATGGTGAGAGCTGAGACTCTCTGGAGTAAATATGTTAAAGAAAATGAGGTGCTTTTTAGAAAGGATTAGCTCTCACAGAAGATCCAAAGATACTAATTTATGCAGCAGAAAAGTAGAAGAAATTGACAGTTGGAATGACTGCCTGTCTTGGTGCCTGTATTACTGGACTAATTCCAAGCATCATGAGAAAGAGAGCCCTCTGAGGGGAAAAAAAATTCCCACTGGTCATCACATCTTACTTTCTCCATGCTTAATCCAGCTGTGCTTCATAATTTTAGCCATGTTATATTTTAAGTAATAGGAAACATTTCTTTCTCTCTCTCTTTTTGTTTCCTTCAATGTATTTCAGAAAATACTTTGGAGAGAAGATTGGACTATATTTTGCCTGGCTGGGAGTTTATACGCAAATGCTTATTCCAGCTTCAATTGTAGGGATTATCGTTTTTCTTTATGGCTGTGCAACTGTGGATGAGAATATTCCAAGGTAAAACAGCAACAAATGCTGCTTCTGTAGGCTAATTTAGGCCGATTACAGGTGATAGGAGAAAATGATTTGGGGGGTTTGTACAGGGGGAGCATTAGCATTGTGGGTTATGAGGAGCGTTCTGCTTTCAGCATGGGCTAACCAAAGGATTTTCTGCTGAATAGCAGATTTTTCTTCTATTATTGGAGGCAACTAGAAACTCAAAATAAAATGTCACCTGTTGATATAAATGTTGTCAGTAATGTCTAGGGTGAGCACAACTGAAGTTGTGGCTCCTGATTTTCTAGGGCTTGCCCTGTGCCATCTGTAGTCTGACAGACTGCTTTAATCTGTTTGCTGGCCATGGCTTCTAGGGACCTGTCTGCCAGCGGGTGACTGCCAGAGTACAGTGCGCTCTGACCACTTTCTGTCCTCGTGCCCTGCATGCTTCCTTTCTTGGAAGCTGCACATACAATGAGGACAACCCCACACAGATGGGCTGTCTTGCAGTCCTGCTGATTTCTGTTTCCAGTAAGTGGTGGAGCTCTACCAAGGGCTGGGAGCGGGTCTCAGAACTGAACTGCATCTTTAAATCGTTACTATTACTTGTAGTGTTGCACTAATGTGCTAAACGAAAATAATTTTTGGCTGATTGCTCAGTTTTGTTTTGTTTTTTTTCCTAACGTAGATCTTATGTAAATTAATGTTAAAGCAAACTAACAAAATGCTGCTAATGATAAGTGTTGATGCTTCCTATCATAAAATGGTCAGGAGCATATTGTGTGAGATAAAGATAAATCAAGAATGTACATGTTTAAACTAGGCAATTGTGGTCATATTAACAAAGTCTGGATGTCCTACTGTTTTCAGGTTTTCAGTAGGTTTTGTATTGTAATGTTTTTAACACCCTGTGATTTTGCATTGTTAGTCCTGCATCCATCATCAGCTGTAGATGAAAATAATATAGTTTAAACAAGAACCATAAACAATGAATGGCAAAGCAGATTAATGGATGTCAGAAACTAGATGCTTTTGTTCCTTAAGATTGCTTTATACCACTTCCAACAGTTGGAGAAAGTCAAGGGGAGTGTCACTATTGGGATTGCATGGATGGAGTACAGAGAGGTTAAACTCCAGAGTATTGATACTCAGCGCTTCCTTTTTACCTTATAATTAGTATTAGCGCTATAATTAGTATTTTGAAACAAGATTTTTTTTTTTACTGTAAGATCCTGTAATAAAAAGTATACAGCCTTACACATATCCTAACGATATCTCTAAAGACACTGTTACTCACTGGAGTATGAGCTGGACTGAGGATGGAGCAGGAAATCGGTCTTGTTTGAGGAGTCTGACCCCTATGGCAGTGTGGGTTACCAACAGTGCTGTTCACTGGGGACAAGAGATGCAAAGCGTTATGAGGGTCCTGCAGACCAGATGTGCATTCAGAAACAGATACTGTTCAGAGGAGAATAGCCTGTCAGAAAAGATTGTCGGAGCATGGAAGATGAGCTATTCTGATCTTACTTTTTGCATATCTTGCTGCTTCTTTGCAGTATGGAAATGTGTGACCAGAGGAACAATATCACCATGTGTCCCTTATGTGACAGAACATGCAGTTACTGGAAAATGAGCTCTGCTTGTGCAACTGCTCGTGCAAGTCATCTGTTTGATAACCCTGCAACTGTCTTCTTCTCTGTCTTCATGGCTCTCTGGGGTAAGAAGATATATGACTTGATGTTAAGTTTTTAATTATTTAAAGTACAACAGGAAAAAACAAAAGAGATAAAGCAGCATATTTATACTCAGACAGTTAATTATATAAAGAACTACTCTTTTTTTTTTTTCTCCCATGAAACTGTCACCCCAAAATTTATTTTCTGCACTGAAGGCTAAAAATTTAAAAAGTTGCTCAAGATGAATATCAAATGAAATTGTTAAGCATCTGTCATAAAACTGCTGTGTGGCATGTCAAAATTTCATTAACGGGATTGCATAGCTTGCCAACAAAATCTATTTGCAGAGCCAGCTTCCACTTTAGAACATTACAGAAAAAATGTATTAATGTACTTTGGGTTTGAGGGGAGGGCTCAGCAGGGAAGTATAATGGCCTCTAATGTCTCAGGACAAACCATGATTGATTCTTGAGTGTGCTCTGAGATGCAATTAAGTTTATCAGGAAACAGATGTCATATGTGTAGACCATGAACCCACAACTGCGACATTATAGGTGTTTTTCTGGTGCTGACTACTGCTGTATTTTGAGCAAGATATTTAACCTTTTTGTTTCTTTTCTCAGCTGTAAAACTTTCAAAAACTGTTAAACGCCCCTGAAATCTCTGTGAGTGTGTGTGCAGGGATGGCTACAAAGGGCTCAGGGAGGGTTATCAAGGGCTGTGTAAGGGCCAGGCGTTATTGTTGTCCTGGTGTCATTCCTTACTGGGTCAGGAGACCGGCTCTGTCGGGAAGCCACCAGGCACCAGATTCCCTTCGAGAGGGACTCGGTGCTCAGGTACCGCCAGGACTCCTCCCCTAGTCACATACTGCCAGTATCAGTGAGATAGCACAAGAAGATATTTGGTCCTCCTGTAAACAGTGTTCAAAGAACCTGTTTTGGATTATATTTGACCTAAAAACATAGCTCAAGTTTTCGTTTGTTCTAGCTGAACTAAACCAGCTTTGCAGCAGAGTCTTAAAGATCATCGCTGTCTTAAAGATCATCTTGCCATGTTACATATATGGAGAAATGTGATATACCTCAAAGCAGGATGCTGCATGTCAGAGACTTTAAATAGTCTGATTCGCTCATGCAGGGAATCAAATATCAATTTCTCTCTCCCTCATTTACTGTTACTGTGAACCCTCCATGGATCTCCAAACTTAATATTCTCTTGTCCAAAGAGTAACACTGTTTGGTTCCCTTTCCTTAGCAGAGAGTTACCCGTCCCTCCTTCCATTTTTGACATTTTTGGGCAAAGGAAGCCAGATTGGGAGAAGCCAGTTTTTAGGCTCTGTGCAGAATGAGGCTTAATATCTGAGATAGTTTTGGAATGGGAATCATATCATCTTTAAGTGCAATTCTATGAATATGTTCTCTCCCTGTCTGTAACAGAATGAAAAGCAATTCTTTTTTGGGGAAGCAAAATACCTCAGGTTCTTCTGGGTCAACATAACATTTTATTTTGGTGTAATACTGTATAAAATAATTGTGGTTTCAAAAAAAGTCAGTGTGAGTTGGGAAAAATCAAGACTTTTTCTAAAAAAAAAAAAAAAAAAAAAAAAAAAGGCCAATGTTATGAATTTGCATTATTTGCAAACTTCACTTCCAAAGGATTTGTCAAAACAAATTTTTAAATTAATTTAGCACTTTATTTTTTAAGGAAACAAAAACTGGTCATGTCTAAATATAGGTAGATGTATATTGTCCAGTGCCATTTCTGAGCACCTCTACATCTAAGGAAAAGGTTTATTATGTTCATGTGTAGTTGAAGAATTGAGACAGAGGGAACCTAAGTAACCTGCTAGGGTGACACAGGGAGTCCTTAGCATAAGAAGGAAATTATTCCAAGTTCCAGGGTGTTGTTGCGAGCAGCCTTTTGGCTAGGCTTTCCTTTTATGATGAAAATATTTTGACATCCTGGAGAACTACACTTCCATGAGAGTTAAAACAGCTTTAGCGCTGAATTGGGCCTCTGTCACAAGTTCACTGCTAAGCATAGATGATAGCACAAAATGCTGTTCCCCAAAAGAGCAGACTCTCCTGGCCCCAACCCTGAATCTTACCTTGTATTGAGTGGTACTGACTTTTTCTCCTAAGGCGTAGACCTGAAGCTTTGGTATGAAGAGACATTAAAGATCTCAGAGAATCCAGATGAGGTAATAATCTGGACAATAACCTTTTGGAATATTTCAGCTCCATTTATGTTTATAGGCCCAGATGAAATATGAAAATGCAGGTACACTTGGCAAAGAGGCAGTGCTTTGCTACTGCATTATACCTGGCACGTTCACTCGCTGCTTTTCAAATGAACTAACAGCTGGCTGTGTTTCAGATGTAATATTTTCATTTTACATTTTTGTAAGTCAATCCCATAAAATGGTTTCTAGTAGCACTAAGAAACAAAGTATCTTTCATTTTTCATATTTCTCTTTGACATGGAAACCGTAGACCACAGGGCAGGAACTCCCAGAGGTGTGAAAAGGGGAGGGAATTCCAGGATCGTGACACAGACTCTTTTAAGATACAATTATGATATTACTGATTTACAGGAAGCGTATGGCTTGTACCAAGGGCTGAGTTATAAGTATTGCTCATGGGAGTTTCACCTGAGAGACTAATGAATGCTATGGCCATAACCTGGTTCCAGTCATCATAGTGTCCATTCTTCTATAGTCAACTTTGTTACCCCCTCTCTGCCTCCAGTTTATCTGAACATGATGGCAAATGTTTCTGAGCACATCTGTTTATACTCACTGCAGAGAATTCCCCTGGGGACCCCATTTCTCGGTAGACTTGCCTCTTTCATAATCATTTATTTATTATACAGTACTGGTGTATTCCCAGCATCTAAATATGTCCTCTGAGAACTTCCTCAATCCCAGAGGCAGATAGACTGATTTGGGCTAGGATTATTTGTTGTGACTCAAGAACGACTTTAATGATGTTTCTTTTCTGTGAGTCTTCCGCAAGGAAAAAGAAAATGTCCATGTTGCTAATGCTAAAAAGACCTAAAAGTATTTCTCTTTAATCATCTGCCCACCTGCAGCTTTTACACTGGCATGAGTGTGTCAGTTTGGATGTGATTATTAGAGCTCGCCATACCCTTGTAACCACTAGATGGATGTAATTATAACAATATACAATGCTTAATGTATTTGAGGGAATAACTATACCAATAAAAGCACACATTTAGAAATATAACTGCTTTAACATGCTAGACACAGTATAAGGCTTTAAATTAGCTATATTTTGTATCAAAGAGCCAGTTTTGTTCAGATTTATGGGCAGGTTTATATGCAGATCAAGACCAACCATATCATTAGTCACGTGTGGAAATTTAAGTTTGGGTGTCTGACTTTCTTAGACCCCTTAAAAATTTCTTCCTACGTGAAGGTGTGGTTATAATAAATGCCATTTCTTTTAGCTTACAATAAAAAAAAAGGGGGGGGGGGCCTCCCAGAACTGATTATCAATATTTCCCAAATAGACATTACTGCTGAATGAAAGAGAAACAGAAATGGAATAAAGTTAAACTGGCCCTGTGTACTATACAATATTGCACCTCCTGAGACCTTTCAGAGATCAGAACCTGCAGATTTACACCAACCTAGGTGAAAATGAGTTTGGCCAGCATGCCTATTCACAGCAGTTCCAGATTTAGGACAAATTCTAACCCAGGCTGATACAATTTCAAAGACTCTTTATAAAATATCCAAATAATTGTTTTAAAATCTGTTGTTTCAGCTGCTACGTTTATGGAACACTGGAAGAGAAAACAGATGCGTCTCAACTACAGGTGGGACCTGACTGGGTTTGAAGAGGAGGAGGTTTGTCCCTTAAGTTCTGACTTTTTGACTTCCATCATTGTATTATAAGTAGTTTTTTACTTTGAGCTGCTAGACATTGCTTCATGGAATACTACTCCTGCAGTATTCCATCATGTAAAAGAAAGGAAAATCCTGTACATGACTATTTGAGTTTTTTATAGCAAGGGTATGACTAGTACGCATTGTTGCTATAGAAACATAATTGTATAGCCACAAAATCTATTTTTTTTAAATATGTAGTCAGGTCACACCTAGCAGCGCAGGCATGGAATATACAGCTCATACATTACTCCCTGGCTGCTGTCAGGGTGCTAACAACCGTAGACCTCATTCATCTCGCACTGCTGTAAATCAGTAATGAACGTATTGAAGTTGATAAAGTTACAGCATTATAAAAGAGCACTGAAAAATTCCCATTAACTTTAATGATGGAGGATCAAGTCCCGACTTGGCAAATATCTAAGAAAATATTGCCAGACATGTGGGTTTGGGGCACTGGGAGGGACGCAAATGTGGAGGTGGTATTTTTTGCATATGCCAAAAAAAATCTCAGCCACATTTATACTAAATGTGCTAAATTGTGTGAAAGTAAAAAGAGACAAATCTGTACAAAGAAAGGATATTAAGAATCAATGAAATTCTAGAAAGAAAGGAGAGAAAATATTCAGCCAGTTGAGAATCTGTATTAGAGTCACCTTTTGATTTTAATTTTGTAATTTTACAACAAGTAACCTCCTCCCTAGATCATAACCAAGTAACTGCCGATGCAGTCCTGCCTTTGACTTTAATACATTTCAGAACAGACTGCGGCATGCAATGCAGGTCTTCTCTATTGTCCCATCATATTCAAAAAGCTATGGCCTTCCCACCACAAAGTCTGAGCTAGAACTTAAACTTTGTATAAAAGCTCACTACTTTACTGTCTATCTGCATGGATTTTTTTACTATTGTTATTATTAAAACGAATACAACTGTGCTTGTCGTATCACTAGATGTTCTAATTAGGTGCACAACAAATGTTGTTAAATTTGTTGAAATGAATACTTCCCGGGCCCTTTGCTAAACAGTGTGCCGTGCAGCCTGGTGAGCCTGGTACAGTTACTGTTCCCCTCTGCCACCCAGAAATCTTGCTGCTGGAATTATCCCCTCTTAACAGATTTATCCCCTCCATAATATATTGAGGGACTCTATGGAAGCAGCCTCTATGCCATGCACTTTGCTAGATCATATCTACTTTATCGGGAGACAATATGGGGATTTATTTCCTGGATACTATACCGTGCTTTTATTTTTGGTAACTAGTTGTTAGCAGACATGAAAGTGGAAAGGATTAACTGTATCTTTCCGATGACTATCTCCTTCATGTCTGAGTTCAGAGCTCTACACAGCTACGATGTTGTGTGACCAGAGGCAGCAGCTGTTAATAAATAATATTTTATTCTTTACTTTCTATAGTCAACTCTAGATAATACAATCTTGAGTTCAGTTAAGAGCTTAAGCACCTCCTATTTCTAATTTTGGTGATTAAGTTGGTACCATGTGCTGTAGGGAGTGAGGGTCTCAAATGATGTGCTAAAATACAAAGCGTGTCATCTTCTGTGGGATTTGTTGTTGTTTTTTTTGTTTTTAGTTCAGGCAATGTTCACAATAATGTTAGAAAAATATCATTTTAAAACATAAGTAGACCGAATTCCTCTGGTAATGTCTAGCCATCTGCTGTACCTATGATTTAGTTTCATGTGATTTTAAAATATAAATGCAATATAATCTGCAACAGTTCAGTAATCAAATTTTTGTGTTTTGTTTTTCTTTTTTTTGTGGGATTTTTTCTGGTTTCCTGAAGGAGGCAGTCAAGGTTTGGAAAACTTTTTTTTTTTTAGTTACCCCTACCTTTTTTGTTACATGTCTACTGGTGAAAGCCATCTTTTGATCTCTGCCTTTTCTTTTTCCAGCATCAGATTTTCTTTAGAACTCCACTGATTCTTTTTTCCTTTACACCCTTCCCCTCTCCACTTGTTCAGACTTTTTTCAGATCCATTCTATTTTCCATCCAATGCATAATTCTGAGCACTTTCTGAATCTTTTAGCTGTCTCTTTCTTTGTATTTCTGTGTTTCCTACATCCTCTCCTTCAATGTATATGCACAATCTGTGGATGTTGTCAAAGATAGGACTAGAACGTATAGCCTCGGTCCATCTGAAGACCAGCTGGCAATTGTGTGGGTTCCCAAAGCTACATATTTTGCATATTTACAGCAGATAAGTTTTGCTCATGAGCTGAGGATCACGGAAATTACAGTTAACAGCATACAAAATCTAATTTTTATAAAAAAGAAAAGAAATTGAAATCCAAGCATAACACGTGCTTTGAACTGCGCTCTCTTCAGGTTGTGCTGTATACTCTTATGTATTAAATTTAATCTGCATAGGGTTATGTCTGATAGGGAGTGCAGATTGGTTGTTCCTGCTGTAGAATTAGAACGGTATGGTATTATTACATTTTCTTTGGTCTACAGTCAACTATCAATTGACAGAAATGATGGAAAACTTGGAAATTATCAGGAAATCAACCTGCCATTCATTTATATGTGGCTGATATAGAAAATAGATAATTTTGCTTTTTCTTAAATATGACTTACTTCACAGGATCATCCCAGAGCAGAATATGAAGCTAAAGTTTTAGAAAAATCACTGAGAAGAGAATACAAACATAAAGAGGTATGGTAAAAATATTCATTTTTTTGACTTATGAAAAGCTTTGAAAAAGAAGGCCAATTATAGCTGGCACTGTCCCAAGACTAAGGGGAAAAGAAAAGAAACGGGGAAAAAAATAGAGACACTGCATATTGTGTTTAAAGTACAAGTATTTTCAATCCTAGCATATATATAATACATTGTATATTTCAGTGCACAAGACCTGATTAAGTCTAGAAATGTCTTCAATCATAATATACAGAAATGTATTTTAAGAAAGTTAATCCAGCCTGACTGAATAGGGGTTCCTGTTAGGCTAGCGAATGAAGTTGGAGCAACGGGTAGAGAACACCTTATCCTATGCCTATTATAAGTAACTAAAGTGTCTCAGGAGAGATTCTTCTGTCTTGCTAGCATGCATCCTCATGACATCCTCATTTGAATCTTGGGGCTAAAATGTGTGGTACTGCACATATTCTAGTTGAAGACTTGGGTATGTGAGGCAGCCTCTCCTGGCGTTCTAGTTTTTCCGGTAGAACTCTAAAATTTGCTTTTTGCTTTCTGACTGGAGGTGTACCTCAGCTGAGACGCTGTTCCAAACTTTGAAACTGCTCTAAAGCACAAATACTCTGCTCCTGAATTCGAATGTAGCTTTTTTATGCTTAGGTCTTGAGACTGGTCTTGTAAATTATCTCAGTACTAGAGCCTTAATTAGGAGTACTAACACTAGTTTCCTTGCCAAATTTCAGCTTCGGTAATAACCTTCCGCCTTTTAAAAACATAACTTCCCTTTTCTTTCACTGAATAAGTATCCCTCACTTCTGCAATTAATTTGTTGTTTTACACTGTCATGACAAAGGTGCTGCCTGTCTTACGGATGGGCAGTGCAGTTCCTGTGAGGAGTGTCTGCACCCTTTCACTGAAGGCTGTAATTCCATATTACTGTTTGTCAGCAGCAGAGCAACTTGAAAAAACTCCTGGTGTCCCCTAAATGCTTTTTTCAAGGCTACTTCCTCCTTAGTGGCAAGAATTCAGCTGTTTGTGTGACCACATTTTTAAGCGGGGAAGTAAAGGCTCTGGCTTAAACAAAAATCTGTCAAAAAAGTGTTGGCAGAAATTCCTCTTTGGATCTGTTGCTGGTAGAACAGTAGCATGGAACCATGGCTGAAACTGGGGGTTTGGATGATAGAAAGCCCTGTGAAAATATAACTGCAGTAACCATGTCAATATCAAAATGTGCTATAATAGACACCATACATAGATAAACTAGATTAGCAATGAATTAAATGTGTCTGATGTTGTGATGTGCTTATACTTAAGGAATGCTGTGCCCTTAAGGTTGCAACAAAGCTGATACTGATATGTTCTAGTTTGTTTCTAAAATGCAATACATAAGCCTTTCAGTGTAGTGTGGAATACCTTACTTGCAGCATTGCTTTAAAAATTCTTGCAGAAGAAAAAAGAATTTGGGTTGCTGCCCTTTTATATGATGGATAAAAAGTGTTTGAACACAGATTCTTTGTATTTAACTGAACATCTGTAACTTGCTGTACTTTTTGGTATATTAGGAATTCAGACCTTGAGTGTAGAAAACTGTAGGATAACTGGACAATTAATGAATGGTGACCTCAAAATATCAGAGTATGAAAGCTGAGCAATTAAGAGAGGACTTTTTTTTTTTAGACAGATTTATTTATAAGTTTTGGAATTCTGTTCAAGTTGGATGTTACTAATTTGGGAAACGTGAGAAAAGGAGTCTTTATGAAAGACTTCATAATTATCTTTCCTTGGGATCGCGAGTGTTAAAGTTCAAATTCAACAGTTGTAAGACAACTGGGGGACCGTCTTAAAGAAAAGCTGTTTAAGCCAGCCTAGAAATTCCTTTTCTTCAAAAGTCACATTTAAAAAAAAAAAAAAAAAAAAAAAAGGTCATTTTTAAAGACAAACTTTTCACAGATCCTTTACACATCATAAAGAAAAAAGAAGATTGCAATCCTAAATGAAAAAGAGAAAATCCTTTGCCAGGTCAGCTTGAGCCCCAAGCCTTGAGCAAAGGGTTTGGGGCAAGGAGAGAAGTTTATCTGTTGGGGTTTTTTTATTAGCCCAGAGCTGAAACATGAAGTATTGAGCAAACTAACAGAGCATTTGCTTGTTGCTAAACTGCTGTGTACACTGACTCAGTAGAGAGTACAGAGATTAATTTAGCAGTGCTTTGTAACATTGTGTTGCACGATCCTTTTTTGTTTCCTTTGACTGCCATCAGAAGCACCAATATTTTCCAGAAGAGACAGCAAACAAATGGAGACAAACAGTTAAGACAGTCATGACTGGGGTGAAATTGGTACTTTTTATTCAAACTTTTGAAGAAATTCAAATTATGAGTAATTATGGAAGACTCAAATCAATTGTTTTGCTGAAAAAACTTTGGCTGTTGGACCTTTGTTTAATATTTGCATTTAATTCTGGGGTTTTTGTCATTCCTCTGCCCCCGCTCCTTCTTCAGCACTCCTTTAGTCGCTGTTTCTGCGTGTTGGGAATGGCACTGCATGACTAATCTTAGCTTTACTGTATTGGATGGATGTAGTGTTTTGCAGTGGAGCATGGGCCATGTGCTTGAAGTGTTGCTTGCTCTTCCCTGAGATAACACGCATGTACTAAGAACAGAATTTAGAGTAATATTTTTATGTTCATTGTAACATGTGTGCCGCCTTCTGTAACACTACTTTGTTGTTGTTTACTTTCTGGTGTTTAGAAACAATTCCCGGCTTCAAAGTTTATGAAGGTATCCAGATCAGCAATATTATTCTAAATGAGATTTTCATAGCCCAATAGAGAGTGGGAGAAGCAATGGGTGGTTGACTTCATTTGGGATATTGTACAAGGAGTGACGATACCTACCTATGTTAACTCCTATCAGAGTGGTCTGTTGAACACAGTGTGGATAGTCAGGTGGTAAAGATTACTGCTATTGAAGCAATTTAAAGTCCATTGCACAGCAAAACCAAATATTCGCTGTCAAATGGGCATTGATCCTGCAGGTTTCCAGCAGTATACTTAATCTATATTTCAGTGGCACCCATTGTGTAAATGCAAGCTCCACATATTATTTGGGGAGGGAGGTGAATTTTTCCAGGGAAAGCAAAAGAAAATACTCAACAGTAGAAGAGATCTTCACAGACGGCAGAGTATTTGCACATTTCCTTCAAAAGGTATATACCACTCTCTGTTTGACTTCTACTCACAGTGCAGATGCTTGACCAGTTTGGACTTAGATACAGAGTAAACAATTTTCCTGTTTGGAATTGTAACTGTAAACACTGTGTCCTTACATCTTCTAACTGGTTGTATATTTGTAGTCCTTCTTCTCTGTATTTTTGTCACATGCACAAATAGATGATATCTTTCTGGCTGTTCTGTCCTTATGTAATTTCAGCCTTTTTTCAATTTTAGACAGATAAAGAAAAACTGACGTGGAAAGATCGTTTTCCAGCCTATCTCACCAATTTTGTTGGCATTATCTTCATGGTAAGAACATCTGAAACGTACACACTAATGTGTGCCATTGCTGAGATTAGAATGGATACAAATGTTAGTGAAAGCATGACAGGCCATCAGATTTATATGTTTTGCAATCGCTTTTTCCCACTGAAAAAGTCCAAACACTTCACTGTTCTATAATCGAAAACTTTTTTAAAGAAATTGAATTACTAAACTGCCTCTGTTATCAGTAAAGAAATAACTGTATCTGAACGTAGTGAGTGAGAAATGAGGTCATGGCAACAGATATTACCATCACCGCTTTTGGAACAAAACTTTAAAAGTACGCAGGTCTACAGAATGGTGTAATTTTTATTATGAAGTTTTTTGAAAGAAATGGCATGGCAAATTGCAATCCTGATTGCAAGGATTTTTACTAAATCAGTCAAGCTTGGGGTTGTACCATACAACAGGCGAATTGAAAACATGATATTTAATTCAAGAAAAGGAAAAATAATGATTAGAACAACCTTTATCCATTTGCTGATAAAACCTTTAAGCCATTAAAGGTTTTGCCTTTAAAACAAATTTTGAAGGAAATAAAAATTCAAGATGTGGAACTGAGTAGCAGGTGGATAAAAAGCTTAAGCTCTTTCCAAAGACAGGATATGCCAAATTTTTTTTTCCTTTTTTTTGGGGGGGGTAAAATATCTGTTTTCAGAAAATGGAGATGCAGTAAATCTAATATCTGTGGATTTGTGCTACATGAAAGTGATTAGTGGAAGGAGGAGGGACCGGAATTAATATTGTCATTGTAAACAGAGGAATAGCCTGGCTAAATGAGATGCTAGTGAAGTCTCTTTGAAGGAAGTACTGGAGTGAAAGCAGATTGCTCGACTAGGCTTTCCTCAAGAAGGAGTGCCATAAGGGCCATGCAGGTGATGGTTGAGTGAAGTTAGAACGATTTGACTGACAGACTCCTCACTTCCATCTGGAAGTTGTGTGTGAGTTTGGAGCAGATGACAGAAATACCCTTGTCACATCACTTTGCAAAGCCCAGGTCTGAGGGTTTTTTCTGTATCTCCTGCAATTTCACTGGGAGCTGAGGAACTGCTGTCTTCCAAGTATCACATTTTTAATTTATTCCTCTATTTAAGCAATGAAAAAGTGAGTAAGACTTTTTTTTTACATACCTCTTTGCTGTCAACTCTGTGTGTCCAGCATTTGGTATTCTTTATGTTGTGCTGAAGCATTAGATTTAACTTCAGTTTGGGGCTATGACAGAATAGGGAACCTTAGTTGAGTGTTGGAAGGCTTGTGTGCAGACTTAAACTGAAACGCTCCTCTGCTTCAGCCTTGCCTTTCTTTTACAATAGGCAAATTCTATGTGTATATGCTGTTGCTGTTAAAACTGAAAGGAAGTATACTAATATTTAATATAAGCAATAATTTTCCTTTGGGTGCCTATTAAAAAGCCTTTTGCATGTGAAGGTAGCATTATTTTATCAATTTTTTGTGTGATGGTCACATTAGTAGCAAGAGAGGATCTGATCATTCTACAGCTCACCAAAGTGACTGGGAGCCTTGATACAGATTTTAATGGATTTGGGATGTGGCCCAGAGACCCTGTTATTAAGATCATTGCTAAGTCCGATGCAAAGGAATTACAGTAAATTTTTTTTATAAGAGGCTATGGTATTCTTAATTGCAGGTTGGGCTGACATTTGCTATCGTGTTTGGAGTCATAATATACAGAATCTCAACAGCAGCAGCTTTAGCAATCAGTTCGACTCCATCCGGCCGGTCAAGCGTTAGGGTCACTGTCACTGCCACTGCCGTCATTATCAATCTGGTCGTCATCATCATCCTGGATGAAGTATATGGCTGCATAGCAAGGTGGCTAACTCAGATCGGTAGGTTCAAATCCTCCAGTCATGCCTGTTAGTGCAATTATAAATGAGAGGATAAAAAATGACTTGCTCTTATGACTAACTTCAAACTGGGAAGTTAACCCAGGAAATTCAAACGTAAAGCTAAAATTCTTACCAGTTAATTTACAAATATCAAAATACACATAGACCCAGCTTTATTCTTGAAGTTTTTCTTTCAGCTGTGGTAGCACTGTTCTCTAATCCAGTTATGGACAATATGGATGCAGCAGAAATTCCTGTACCTAATCTTCAACTTGAACTGGTTTCTTCTATATAACACAATCACTAATTTCATTTTCTGCCATTGTTTATTTGGCAGAAGACATGTTAAGAAATGGAAAACAGTGAAAGCAAAAAACACTACAGAAAAAATATTCTGAATTATTTGTGAAAACATCACAGAATCACAGAATGGTTGAGGTTGGAAGGGACCTCTGGAGAGCATCTAGTCCAACCCCCCTGCTCAAGCAGGATCCTCTAGAGCACATTGCCCAGACTTGTGTCCAGATGGCTTTTGAATATCTCCGGGGAAGGAGACTCCACAACCTCTCTGGGCAACCTGTTCCAGTGCTCGGTCACCCTCACAGGAAAGAAGTTTTTCCTCAGGTTCACATGGAGCTTCCTGTGTTTCAGTTTGTGCCCGTTGCCTCTTGTCCTATCGCTGGGCACCACGGAGAAAAGTCTGGCCCCATCCTCTTGATACTTTCCTTTCAGATACTTACACACATTGATCAGATCCCCCCTGAGCCTTCTCTTCTCTAAGCTGAACAGGCCCAGCTCTCTCAGCCTTTCCTCATCTGAGAGATGCTCCAGTCCCCTCATCATCTTAGTAGCCCTTTGCTAGACTTGCTCTAGGAGCTCCATGTCTCTCTTGTACTGGGGAGCCCAGAACTGGACACAGTACTCCAGGTGAGGTCTCACCAGGGCTGAGTAGAGGGGGAGGATCACCTCCCTCCACCTGCTGGCAACATTTCCTAATGCAGCCCAGGATCCCATTGGCCTTCTTGGTCACAAGGGTGCATTGCTGGCTCATGGTCAGCTTGTTGTCCACCAGGATCCCAGGTCCTTCTCTGCAGAGCTGCTTTCCAGCAGGTCCGCCCCCCAGCCCATACTGGTGCCTGTATGGGGTTATTCCTCCCTAGGTGCAGGACCCTGCACTTGCGTTTGTGGAACTTCAGGAGGTTCCTCTCTGCCCATCTCTTCAGCGTGTTGAGGTCCATCTGAATGGCAGCACAGTGCTCTGGGGTATCAGCCGCTCCTCCCAGTTTTGTATCATGAGGAAATTTGCTGAGGAGACACTCTATCCCTTCATCCAGGTCATTGATGAATAAGTTAAACAATACTGGACCAACATCAGAGACAAAAGGTCGAGAAAATTTTTCAGATAAGTGTTTGCCCATTCTGCAAACAAATATTTTTGTGGAGGTCAATCAGATGTGGAATGAAATTGGAATTATTGTTGTAATTCAGCTGAACACTAGGCTCCTCAGCAGATTTACCCCTGACCTCAGTGAGGTCGTACTGGTTTAACACTCCAAAGAGAGAGAGACAGAGAGAGATACCCTTTATTTAAAGGGTGGCTAACAGTTTCCAGAGTCCACATTTATAAGATTTTGAAATGCTCCAGCTAGGACAATCCCTTAAAGTTTCTTATTTATGTCATATGGTTTCCAGAGGTTCCAAAAACTGACAAGAATTTCGCAGAGCGTCTGAGCCCATTTTCTATGTCGCTTTCTTCAAAGGCCGGTGAGTAATGGAGGATGTCGTTGAGGATTTCAGCTTGTTTTTTGTGAGGCAGCTGTAGCTGCGCCTGAGAACGCAGCTGGATAATAAAGTAACTGTGGTTTAAAAAAATCCTCAATATTGGATCAAAAATACTGCAGCTTTATGGGATAAAGCAGCGATCTGTATGATTCTGCTGTTTCAAATTTGTTAAAGCCATTTTGCCAAGTTAACTTTGTACATTCAGATGTAATGCCCCATCAGGCGTTGTCCATTTATCGCGTTCTAATGTTATGTCATAGCAAGTAGTATCTCTCTTCCTGCAACCAGCATGAAAGCACAAAGCTAAAATGAACTCCATATCACATGTTCTGGCTAATGCAGCAGATGTGAGATTGGGTGCCCATGTGTAGTCCGAACACCTGATCATGCATCTCAGAAGATTTATGCTAAGATGTGCCTATAATATTATGGGGCAATCCTTAATTACTTTCCTTTGATTTTTCAGAACTAAACATTAAGTTGTCCCACACAAAGGTATAACATTGCACAATCAACTTCAGGAATCAATTATAAGAAATCTATATAATATAATGAGGTTTATAATTCTAACCATTGTGTTCTAGGTTTGTTGGTCGTCCAGGAGACTACGTCTACATTTTCCATTCTTTCCGCATGGAAGAGGTAATTGCATTTTACCCTGTCTGTGATCTCATCACCTGAGAACAGCATCTTTCACTGTCACAGCGATGCAGATGTTCTCATTTACGTTTCCTCTGTCCACTTTAGTGCGCTCCTGGCGGCTGCCTAATGGAGTTGTGTATCCAGCTCAGTATCATCATGTTGGGCAAACAGCTGATTCAGAACAATTTATTTGAGATTGGCATCCCGTAAGTAGCAAGGTTTTTTACGTGTGTGCATGCGGCTTTTTACCCTGTGTACGATACAGTGCGTATTAGCTGCCTCTTGATAAGAATTTGGTATGCAGGCTACATTAAAGATCTTTATAGTAAGGCTCGGCCTACTCTATATAGTAAATACTTTTGTTCTACAGCTGTCAGCCAACGTTGTAGCATCAAACAATACCGACGTCTTTGAAAAGTGTTACAGGATCTCTTGATTTCCTCCTGGTTAGCAGTAGGTGTGATACTGAATGTGTGATTCAGCTGTGACAAAGTTTGAGTATCTGTATATGCTGATCTGTGATATTTCCTTTTAGTATATTGTAACTCTTGGATAGTTTTTATTAAAATAGACATAGAGCTTATTGTAACATAAAATAACCGTCACTCCTCATCCAGCTGAGTAATGGGCATTGTAACCAGAATAGCATGCTAACTGAATCTATCCATTTCTTCCAGAAAAATGAAGAAATTCATAAGATACATGAAATTAAAGCGTCGACGTTCTTTAGACCATGAAGAGCACATGAAAAAAAAGCAGCGTTATGAAGTGGACTATAACCTGGAGCCTTTTGCTGGACTTACCCCTGAATATATGGAAATGAGTGAGTGAGGTGGAAAGGAGGCATGTTAAGCCATAATTAATGTGATTAATTGGGATAGAGAGCTGAGGTTTTTCAATTGCAGATTTGGTGGACAGTGGGTAAGGTGCATATTACCTTATTTATTAGAGTACACTCTGGGACTGTAGCATGTTTCAGCTGACCACTGGCTGCTACAGGGATGAACTGTGATATCTGGTGTTCATGATCCCTTACGATAGCACTATACATTAGATATTTTTTATCAAGCTATGTGACATGTTACTGCCGAGTGTTAAATGCAAATGATTTAATAGCATAAACTTGAGATTTTGAGGCATATTTTATCTTCAGCTGCACCTAGGCTGGAAATAACTTATTTAATTTAATTCAGATGTGACAGTTTCCATTGTGTGTTGTCACTCCAGATTGACTCTTTTCTGAAATCTGAACTCAATCTTCTCAAAGAGATTAGGGCCTGTTGACCAGGTTGTAATTCACAGATGACATATGTATTTTTTTCCAAATAATTTGCTATGTTGAGCAATCAGTATGGAATTTAAGCACTGGATATCAGATCTGCGTTACTGAGGCTCTAAAACTACATTTCTCCTCCTACCTCTAAACTTGGTATTGCTGAATGGATGAGAAGAATCACTGCATACAGTGCTGCTTGCAACAGTATCAGAAATTCCTGAAAGGCTAGCCCAAAGAGCAACCTTATTTAGTATTTTCAGTAATGGCTAGGCAAAAATATTTCGAAAAGGATAATGAAATGTGCTAATACCAAAAAGTGGCATTTATAGTAAAAATAGGGGCAGATTAGAATATCAGGTGACTTTGAGTTTCAGAGCTGTTGAAACAGGGTTAAAATTTAGTAGTACAAAATATGAGGTCATGTTACCAGTTCCTAAGAATAAGAATATATGCAATTAGTTACATCAGCAGTTGGAAGTAATAGAAAAAGACAATGACTGGGCTATAATAGTAACAGGATGGGCATGTTATCAATGTGATATGCTCATGAAACAAAAGCAAATACAACCCCAGGATACAGCAAGCAAGTTATTTCCAGTAAAGACAGAGAATCAGTAATGTCATTTATGAAGCACGGGTAAGACCAAGCTAAGCTAGAGTACTATATAGAGTTCTTTTCACCCACGCTTGCAAGGAATGAGTGCAAACTGGAACAGGTGCAAGAAAGGCTGCTGAGGCGATCAGAGGAAGAAAGAGGTTGTTATGAGAGCACCGAAAAGATATTGGCTTATTTTACGCTGCAGAACGACAGATCAAGGGAGCTGGAGATCACTCTCTTTAAATACATAGAGTGAGTTAACATTAGGAAGTGTGAAGAGCTACGTAAAGTAATGAAGAAGGCCAACAGGACAACAAATAGATATAATCATGAATGGGCTGGCATGGAGAGGGTTTCTGAACTTCAGAAGAGAAAAGTTCCAGGGGGATTAGTGAGGGCTCAAAGCCTACCTGGTGGAGCACGACGAGTTCACATAAGAGCTCATACAGTCCCTGGGGGCAGCAGGTGACAGGACTCGATAACCCAGAAGAGCTGTGGTAATTCCATGTTCTTCACATCACTCCTACGGTTGAGGATTGTTGGGGACAGGGTTTAGCCCAGTGCCGCTTCCCTGATTCCTACCCTGCCCTGCTCAGAGGACAGCACACGATAGGAGCAGATAGCGCTAGCTTTGCTCACAGGGGAATGGTATTAGATGCTTTGCCTTGCTTGAACCAGTCCTGGCTTTGGAAGAGGGGCAATTTGCCCTATAATGCCTGCATGGAGTACCAGTCACTCCAACTGTGTCTGAAGTAGGAAATATAAGTTAGTTTCCCAACAAGTGGCGTCTTGTTAGGATTTGGGGGAATGGCACTGACATGCTGCATGCATTTGACAAATACAGACCACGTCCATTGAAACGGGGTTTTTTCTTTTCAGTTATTCAGTTTGGATTTGTAACTTTGTTTGTTGCATCCTTCCCACTGGCTCCATTGTTTGCTTTGTTGAACAACATCATTGAAATCCGTCTAGATGCAAAAAAATTTGTTACTGAGCTGAGGAGACCGGTAGCAGTCAGAGCAAAGGATATAGGTAAGTGCGCCTTGCTGTTGTTCCTCCTTGTTTGTTTATTCCTAGATTGATGGCAGGATGTTGTTACGCTGAGTTAGTTTCATTAACAGGAAGGTATTTGTAGGACAATTCAAAGCTTTAACTGTGAACTCTCATAATTTATCAAGCCTTTACTTTTAAAATAGAAAGAGCAGTGCTTTAAATTCAGATTAATATTTTATTAAGTAAACAATATCACTTCTCCAATCTAAGCGATCAATACAGCAGTGAAATATGTTGCAAGGTTCTGCACATCAACAGTTCTTCCTGGCAGTGGAAGTGTCTTGCAGAAGCAAAAATTTCTGCATTTAATTGTTCTGGACTGAGCTGGAGAAATACACTTGGGAAGGAGAGGAGCCCTCCATGTCCGTGGATAAGTGTATCCCTTTCTACTCAGCATGAATGTCAAAACTCATGAGCCTGAAAGCTGCAGTGATTCTAGCTGGAGCCAGGCTCCAGAGCTGTACAATGACTGCAAAGCAGTCTGCCTTTTATTGCCAAGGGGCTAAGAACAAGGTATATATGCAGTGATGAAGCTACTTTTCCTAGCTGTGGGTTAACTGGGATATTGGAAACATATAAGTAAAAAGTTTATTTAAATTATTATTCATATTACAGAGGAAGTGAGCAAGAGTGAAGTTTACTATGAGTTACCAAACTTAGTGTTATTTCAGCTATTGTGCACCGCAAGCAGAGTGTTTCTGAGTGCTCATCCTAGTGCCCTAGGATTAGCCTAGAGCTGAAGAACATGTTGTCTTTTGTTGTGCTATTGCCTTCAACATGGCATTGCTTTTCCTGTGCTGTGCGGCTGGCTCATTTGAAGCAGGGGACAAGGATTTTTGCTCTTCCCCCCGCCTCCCCAGGGGTGTTAATTGCAGTTTATTGCAATCCAGCCCCACTCAGAGAATTCCCAAAGTCAGAGATCATGAGATAGCTGTAGGCGAATCAGACAAGTTTTCAGGCAGGCACCAGCAGAACTGGTAAAAAGGGAGAACGTTGTACCTAGTGAAAGCTGTATGTAATCACTGGCAGTGAGCGGAGGTCTAGCTTGGCTGCTGCCGATATTGCAATATGTTTTTCTGACGTTAAATTCTGTACTCTGCTCAGGCTGACTTAGACATGCTGTGCCAGAAGACCAAAACTGTATGAAGCGTAAGTTAGTTATCAAGTGAAGGATTCTGTCACGCTAGAAGAACCTTCTGGAGGTGTAATATTGTATGAAGTCTCCTACATCTTCTTTCCTTAAGCCAATCTGCTATTCCAGAGCTAATCAGGGCTGTAACCATGCAGATTTGATAGCAGCCCTTGATTTTTCTATCACCCGTATTCTGCAGACCTCAAAGGTCACCCTTTCAATCAGTACAGGATCAGGCCATACACTACTTTACTTGCAAATGTACGTGACAGTTAGGAAAGAGACTATATTTAGCCCTTGATTTAACAAAGATGCCTTCTGCCTTTCCCACTGACTACCAGTTGATGCTACTGATTCTGACTGTGAACAAAGATATGCTGTGGGTGGGTTTTAAAGAAATAATGGAAAAGGGGAATTGAGCTTGCTCTTATGAAGTATATAGTACTGAGTACTGTACGTCCATATCTAGTCCACCGTTCAGGGTGAGTTTCACCAAGGGCCAGAGGAGGCCAAATCCAGGCTGCTGGGGTTTTTATAGTGAACTTCAGTTACATATATACTTTAGAGTCATCAGCACAGACTGAATCTAGCACTTGGATTCAGCTAAGGAGAAGTTTTCAAACTGTCATTAACGACTAGGAGAGGCCAGGTGCTGGGGTGCGTGAGCACCAGTGTAGGGCGTACAGGCTTGCAGAAGCCTTTCCGCGAGGAGGGGGGTGGGGAGATGGGGAAGAGCAGAGCTGCATGCCTGGGTGACCTTTGGCCATCGGCCTCACACTGCCTTCGCAGAGCTTGACCCTGAGCCTATCTGCAGTTGTGTTACACACTGCATGCATGGAGCCCGTGCTGAGGAGACAGCTAGCTAGGGTTGCCAGATGCAAATGCAAAATTCCTTTAGAGGAATTTCCAGTGGAGCTTTGCCTTCTCAAAACTGTTTCTCTTCACTATTTATCTTACCTCAGATTTGAGTAGATCCCTAAAATTGATAGATCGATATATTCTGTACCGCATCTACGACATGGTGGAGAGTCCACATCTGTGGAGAGTCCAGTTCCCCATTTGTAGCTTTTTTTCTGCTCCTCAAGTAGAAATCATTTGAGCAACTTTTAATGAAACTTCATGATCTTTTTGTTTTCTACCTATGCTGGCATTCCTCTTTCTTGCACTAGCCCTTCACATCCTCAAAGGAGCTGTTAGCTTAAAACTTCTAAAAATTGGATGCCTAAACATAGCTTTGGAAGACAGAGTTGGGCTTCCTTTGCTTGCAGGTCTTGAAATTAATCTGCTATAAGTTGTTCTTTTTATTTAAGCTATAACTATAGTTTGACACAGTCATAAGCATTCTAACACTGTTAACTGAAAATGTCATATATCTCATTCTAATGACTGGAACAGCATTTACATGTTTGTCTCCTTCCTTAGGAATCTGGTATAATATCCTCAGAGGTATAGGAAAGCTTGCTGTCATAATAAATGTAAGTATTTCTGCATTCAGTAGAATTAGAGACTTTAATTCAGTAGTCTGGCTCTTCCATTCTCGTCCATTAGTTTTATTCCATCTTAAATCCCTTAAATTGAATGAAATTATATGATATAGAAATGTTCTCAAATATTACTGAATCAGATCCAGTGTTTGTCTGGAAGTTGGGATAGTTTTGCATATTGACGCATTGTGGAGACAAAACGGTAAAACTTAAATATTCAGAATGATAGGGAGAATTGTCAATCTCTGTATAGCAGTAATATTCAGTAATAATAGCCATTGCAGCTTTTTTCCAGAATGCTTTCATAAAACAGTCTTGCTCCTCAAACAAATAAGACCACAGCTGTCTGCTTAAATACCTTTTCTTCCTACTTTACTATTATAAAATACTACCACTAAGACTATATATTTCTTAATTTGACTGATAAAACTTACGACCGCAGAAGCTTTTAGGGTCAAGTAGTCAGCTGGATATGAATTAGTCTGGCTCATCTGAGTGCAATGTCCCTTCATTGAAAATCTGGCCTCAAAATGCATTAGTCTACCATTTCTCACTCAGATAGCTCTGGAAGTCAAAGAAAATACTTTTGTTTATTTCAACAGTGAATACACTTAGAAAATTTCAGCACATCTTAATACCAGTTTTCCTTGGATCATCTTGATTCTTCAGAAAACATGTATTTTGTGGTCATAAGAACAGATTTTCTCTCACTTTGCTTCTGTAGACTCCTACCTCGGTCATCCACATCCTGTCCCACCCAGGGAAAGATTAAAAGAAAGCTGAATGACAAGTAGAAAACATATTTACAATGGAGCAAAATAGGGGCTGTGCAGGGCTATGGGTCCATAGGCCTCCTCACTTTCTCAGAGGTCTGTTCTGAAACCGCCACTTCCCATCAAATCATCTTGTAATTCCTGGCGATTGGACACGTGTCACTGCAATGTCTTTCTCCAGCTGGGAGATAAGGAGAGGAGACCCCCTGGAAGTGGTGGGGGCTGCTGAGACTTCCCAGCCCGCGGGGCTCCCACGGTGCAGAGGAGCTGAGGCTTCGCTCCGTTCCCCCAGCCCTGGGAACGAGCTCTCAGTCGGAGCAAATCCGGCCTCCTGCGACCAACAGAAACACTTCCATTCACACCTGGGGACTGAATCAAACTCTTACTGCCAATAGGGAAAATCCCTCAACTTTGCCAACAAGTGTCTGTTGTTCTACGGCCAAACCATTCTTATATTTTTGTATGCCGCCTTAATTTGTCTTTACCATTTCTCCTCCTTTCCTTTAGAAATAATTTCTTTATTCTTCTGTTTTCTTTCTTGTATTTGTCGTTATCTGGTGTTATTTTTCCCTCTTTGATCTATCTACTGTCCCTCTTTATCATAAAATAAGTAAGACATTTTGTACTGTGTTTGTTCCACATGTACATGAGATTTACGCCAGTGAGAATGTTTCATGGTGATAACAAATGAGAAGGGCCAAAGTTATGAAGAACTCAGCTGAATTGGCTATCTTATATTTTGTGGATGGCATTTTTATACAACTTTTTAAAATAACCAAATAACAGGAAATGTTTTGTGGCCATTTAAAAAAAAAAAAAAGCAACAACAACTGGCTCGGTCTGCCCATCCTTTTATCTTGATGGAGTTAAAAAAAAAAAAAAAAAAAAAAAAAAAAAAAAAAACACATAAAATAAATTCTCATTGCATTGCAAAAGCCCATTAAAAGAATCAATTCCCTGTAAGTTGTTCACAGAACACAAAAGTACATCTAAATGAATCAATCAGAGCTTATACAATCCATCAGGGACAAGCTGTAATTGGAAAGAGCACCATACTTTGCTTTCTTCTGATGTTGGGGGGCATGAAAGCCTCATTCTCCAGAAGAGTTCAAGTTGTTATCCATATAGCAATCTTAATCGACATGGAACTGCTCCATTGAATATCCTTCAACTCAAATGGGTAAGCAGTAAATACCACCTTGCTACAGCAGTTACTATTCTGCTTTTAGGGCTCCATGGGCTGCAATCTCCCCCTTTTTTTCCTGAAGCAGTCCCCTGTGCAGCAGTCCCTAATTCACATGAGTTGTTTGGGCAAGACAGGCTTGAATATATTATTAACTAAACACTATCTGAATATTGCGCTCATTCTTTACTCTTATGGCTTAGGCATTTGTGATCTCATTCACATCTGACTTCATTCCACGCCTCGTGTACCTGTACATGTACAGTGAGAATGGCACCATGCATGGCTTCGTGAACCATACACTATCCTCTTTTAATGTCAGCGATTTTCAAGCAGGAACAGCTCCAAACGACCCTATGGATCTTGGCTATGAGGTCCAGATATGCAGGTATTCCTTTGAATGATAACTAACTTTAAGTATTTCCACACCTAAGAATGTGACACATTTTTTTTCATTCCTGGGGTAAATCTAGGTCTCGTGTATTTTTAATACCTTCTGAGCAGGTTGGTAGCCTTTTATATCCGGTAAAGCCATTGCCTTGAAGTCTTGGCTTGCAGATAAAGTGACCACAATGTTTGAATGTTAAGTACTGCTTATTTGCAGAAAGACTGGTTAGCATTGTTAATGTTCGGTGTTTGTCAAGGAATTTGCAAAGATTTTGACTATTGATTACGTATTTGCTTTTTCTGGAAAAGGATATGAGTAATGACAAACAGTATAATGATCCTTTAAGGAAACAGAATGATGTTACTTTGATGTCACATTGTTGTACTGTATGCTGCTGACATGACTGTGACTTCACAGTACACCTCTCTTTCTTGTCCAGTTTTATAGTAATTCCTGATTATATTAATAGCAGCTTTATCTGCGCTGGAACTTAAGGCCCACTTAAAATGATACTGTGCAGAAAATTTGCATGTGTATAACAAATCCTATATATTATTTTCATTGTTAAAGGAAAGTTGTTGTTGCATATTTCAGCTTATCAAGCTATCTAGGTCAGTGCTGAAATCCATGCTTTGCTTAGGCTTCCTTAGATATGCATCATCTTCAAAACAAATGTTTTAAAGCTTATAATTGGGGACCAAAGCCAAAAGTAACAGTGAGAGCACTTAGAACAGCAAGGCTGTAGGGGAAAAAGGGGGTGAGAAGGAGAAGAGGGGAACAAAGAAGGCAAAGACATTCCAGAGGAGGGGGGGGAAAAAAAGATACTTTTGATGTGTATGTGTGTATATATATTTTTACATATTATATACTGGAAAATTACAGAAACTGACTGAGGGAGAAATACCTGTATAATTGTATTGTTTTTTAATTTATGCTCTTTGTAAATCAGAATAGAGCAAGTTAATCTGCTAAAATGACTGCTAAACAGAAAAATCACTCTTACTTTGAGATGAAAGATAAAACCAACAAGAACTGCACACATCTTAGCTTTTGCCCAGTTTTCCTTTTTCTGGTTTCCTTCTGGTGATCTCTGGGGACATGAGAAATTAGTTTAGCAGAAATGTTTTTAGCACAAAACTTATAGAAGGGAAGTCTTAATGTCCAGTATACAAATGCCAGTTTTATGTACTTTCTAGTCCTTGCCTCTTTCTTCTTCCCATTCCATCATTTCTCTCATGTTTGAGGGATTTTAAAATCAGATATTTAAAAATATGGAGGCATAATTCTTTCAAAATATTGAGAGGATGCTATGGTTTAATTCTACTTTATTTTTCTTGGTCTCGTTTCTAACAAGTTAATTAGCTCATAGGTTTTCCATAAGCCATAGCTAAGGCAGAATTCTCCTGTTCTCTCTATATAGTAGAATTTGGCTGCAGTCTTTTGCTGATCTTGAAAATGTAGAACTCCACATAGTATAATACACTCGATAGATCTGAGACCATTACTTTCATCTTCAAATTTAGTCTGAAACATTTTTTTTTTTACCAATTTTAAAAGGGAATAAATCATCTGAACTTTGTAGTTTACCCCTTCTTTATGCAGAGTTGATATTATTTGTACTAATCAGAGGGTATTAAGATTGAATTTTGATTAAAACTGGAAGGCTGTGGGAGGCTCTGTGCTTTGTCTTGTTTGTGTGAGGTTTGTACAGTTATGCTGTAATAGCAAATTTGCTTTTAGACAGTTCGATTTACTGTTTTACTATTAAGTATTAAATGCTCACTATGCTAAAATTTCTAAATGACAGCACTTGATGTAGTGGGTCTTGTTTTGCAGATACAAAGATTATCGAGAACCTCCTTGGTCTGAAAACAAGTACGACATTTCAAAAGATTTCTGGGCTGTCTTAGCAGCAAGATTAGCATTTGTGATAGTTTTCCAGGTATGTTATACAGCAGGCACTTTCTATATAAGAAAGGAATTATCACTTTCTGTACAAGAAAGAAAAAGAGTTATCATATTTCTTCAGCTAAATAAGGCAGGCCACCTTTGGAAATAATTTATTAGGGTGCATAAAACATCTCCTTTCACAGCTGTTTCATGTAATAGCAAAGGAATTTGCCCATCCTTATTCACCCTCTTTCTCCCTCCCACCCAGCCCCAGATGGGTAATCCCCAATGGGTAATTTCATCCGCAGGGACTGCCTGAACTGCTCTGACACAGAGCAATGCAATGACCTGAGTGAGCAGCAAAGCACGAGGCTGATACTAATTAAGTCCCACCAATTTCTCCAGTAGGACATCAACATGTTTGCTGAAGAAGTGCAAGTTTTATCCCAAATCATTTCTAGATCTGGCCAAGATATGAAATTTCTGACATTACCCAATTATATTTTATCTCGGAGTTGAATGAGATGGCAAAATCTTCTGATTTTTCACTATATAGCAATTCTCAATCGCAACAGTTACATTGGTTATTATGATATAAGTATTTTAAGAGTCTGCCTTATTTAAACAACTTGTTTCAAAACTTCTCCTTTTTTTTGACAAAATATGTATCTTTCTGTGAAAGACTTCACTTTCCTTGAATCAAGACTTTACAGCAAAAATATTTCAGTGAAAGGTTTTTTGCTACCTTTCAGCATTTTACATCTTGTTATTTGCTTCTGCCTTGCTGATGTAAAACTCATAAGCCATTTATCAATTATAGTATTTCCTTCTGATTTCTAAGTGGCTTTGACAGTATTTGTACATAAATCAGAAAGATCTGTGCCTGCCATTTTTCTGTCCGTTCTGGTATTGACAGGAAGTTGAGGTAAATTTGGCTCAGTATCAGACTTGTGACATGCAGTTGAGCCCAACTCAAATGTTGTCCTTCATTCTTCCTTCCGAAGTACACTGAAAATAGCCCATTCCCTCACAGTCATCTTTTCATTTGACCTTGCTGACATTTTCTCACAATTTCATTTTCAGAACTTGGTCATGTTTATGAGTGACTTTGTTGACTGGATTATCCCAGACATTCCCAAGGACATTAGTCAGCAGATTCATAAAGAGAAAGTTCTCATGGTGGAGGTCTTCATGAGAGAAGAACAAGGAAAGCTGCAAATGCTAGAAACCTGGAAAGATAAGGACATGCAAAAAGGTGAAAACTGTAACAGTCACAGTCCCAAACTCTCCAGGAGCCACAGTGGGAGCTTGTCCTCCTGCCATTCATATCCCGTTGACGTATAGAAGAGAAGGGAGTTGAGCATATCGGGGCATTCCACTGATGAACAAGCCATCACGAAAAGGGCAGGACTTGATTAATAATGGACAACCTGGTGCATGTTTAAGGATGTGCTGCCATTTTGCGCCCATCTTTGTGAGAAATGCTCTTCTTACAAATATGGAGGACCACGTTCTATTTCTGATCTTTTTTTTTTTTCCTTTTGCACAAGCAGTAATGCAGGGAATTTTTATATTTCATCGTTAGATAACACTATTGATGTTGGTGTGCATTAATAAATGCAGGTACTTAGTACATGTTGATAGAGATATTCTCTGAGAATTTGACCTTAGCCTATTAAGTAAATAAAGGTTAATTTTAATTAATAACACTACTAATAATTTAAAATATTTTTGGAACCCCAGGCTTGAAGGTCTGTGGGACAACTTTATAAAGTACATGCAAAACAGTTTTAGAGTGTGCTCTAGTATTCCCTTTGGCAGGAGGAGAGAAACAATATAAAGCTTACCAGGCTTATTCACTTTCAAAGATATGGTTTAGCTCTGCTGGCAGACTTCTGTATTTGAACCTGCAGGTCCAAGACAAACAAAGCTGCCATTGAGTCAGCTAAGGCGTAGAGAGAAAGAAATGCACGGGGCACTTGTGGCAACCTGCTGTGTACTCGAGACCTACACTGGGGGCACTGTTCTGTTCAGAAACATCAGAAAATTGCATCAAAATTGAATGCCCTTATCTTCATCCCAGTTCTGTGACCATGGAAAGCTGCTTGCGTACTGGACAAGATGTTTTTAACAATGAGCAAGTAATGTGGATGAAGCTACCTCAGTGCCCCAGCTTGTATCATATGCATTTGAGCAATCCTCTCAAGGGTCCCCACTAGCAGCAACACAGCAGCAGCAGCACAATTTCTGAGAACCTCCCAGCAGGTAGATTATCACAGAGCATTTTGTTAAATGCCCTGAATTAATGAGCACATGTAGAGCTACAGTGTCTCACGCCACCCTGCCAAGTACTTGGACACTGTTGTTCCTAAGGAGTTATACATTTTCCCATTATATTAGCACATCCTTTCCTTAGCCAGGTTTTTCTTTGTAGCCCTCTGTTCTCTGCAGGAAAAGGGAGTCTGCACCCATTTTTCAAGGCCAGTTGCCCCTGCAGGCTTTGTACTATTGAATATCATCTCCCAGAAGCTATGCCAAAAGGAGTAAATCCAAACTATATACTACATACTATCTTCAGTGGAAGTTCTACCTGCACTGGGGCTACAGGACCAGACCTTCAGTTACAGGACTTTTCCTTTGTCTTAAAATACCCTAGCTTTTGTACAAGGAACTTCCTTAAAGTGTAAGTCTAAAATCCTTACTTATGAAGCCTATCTAAATCCCATCAGTGCAACTCTTTTTATGTATCGTACATTTTACTTTGCTTTGTCAATGATAAACTGCACTTCCAAATAACATTGGTGCAATTAATCTCGTTTCTTTTACTGCTCTGTCTTGTCCATGGCACTTACATAACAAATATAAAACTAAAGAATAAAAGAAAAACTAAAGATGTTCTTTAAAGTCTAACTACTGTATGGTTTGTTACAAAACCAAACATCGAGACTGTTTTCAAGAAAAGTTAGTTTCTCTTTTTCCATTTCTTTTTTCTTTGCCAAACTAATTTAAAGATTAATGCTAGAACTTTAAAAATGCCATATTTAGCTTTTGCTATATTTATTTGTTTTAAAGTATGTAATAAACTTGATATTTTTCTGTGGTCTGTCCAAAGAAGGTGCCAGAAAAGAAATTATATGGAAAAAAGAGAATGATATTAACCAAATACTCTTGAAGCTAATTTAAAATATTGATCCAACCAAAGATTTTTATTAATAAAGGGCTTATATTTTGCTAACTCTCGTTTCTGTTGTATTTTGACTTGCAGGAATGTCACTATTTTTAAAATTTATAACTTATACTATTATGGAGCCAAATCCTGCCCAATTTATTCACATGATAAGCATTATGCCTGGTAGTAAGTTTTTACAAGATCAGGCCTGTTAACTGCAATAGAACTGTGAATGTGAATAAATTAAGCAGAATTTTGTCCATAAATCCTGTTGGAAAAGTATTCTTCCTTTCATTCCTTGGTAGCCCAGAAGTTCTACAAGAAAGCCAAATATGAACTACCTATTCTGAAGACAAATGTTAGGGGACTTCCTCTAAAGGAATTTAATCTGTAAATATCAATCAATCTAATACTGACATTCCTGTAAATAGTAAAACTATATCCTGAACACACACGTATCAGAACTTTTATTTGCTGAAATCGTGAAATAGTAGCAGTTGCTTATACTTTCTTTTGTACAGTAAAATGTTTGAAATGGAATTTTGTATATAAAAACTGTATTACTACTTAGATAACGATAAGACTCTTTCATGGAATCATTTTTTAAGAAAAGTAAATATATACTAAATCATCTCCTCAGTTGTTTTTTTTTTTCTTTGAAAATTTGCTTGAAATATACTTAAATATACAAAAATTTCTCCTGTGGAACAGGTTCAATTCCCAGTGATGCTTGTGCTCCAAGTATGCAAATGTGAGCACTACTAGATCTCAGTTATATACCAAATCGAGTCACAGTTTGCATAAACTGGTTCTTTGATACCCTTCACAGTGCTTCTTATCTAGTCAGGTAGTAGAGACCAGAACTGAGAGATTTTTTTGCAAATATCGGCTCATTCATTTGTATACATCTTCCTGACAGCTTCAAATGCAAATCCTGCACTCTGGCTGCTTTAGACACCCATGCTGGGATGATTTGAATCCCACCTTAGATGTGCTTGTCTCTGAGTCCACAGAGGGAAATTTGGCTGCTAGTACAGACATAGACACCAAATCCTGTCCTGGGAGCTTTAATTTTCTTTTGTCTTAGGCATTTAGCAGAATGTAATGCGTAAGAGTTTTCACTAAGTTGTTTGAAATGGGCTCCTAATGGGGGAAAATGTTATTTGGTTCATTCAATTGAATTAAAAAAATGTATTAATTACTAGAGGAAAAATGTTGAATGGTTTAAACTAAAGTAATAAAACTCAGTGATTCCTTCAGGTATATCTTGCTGAAACCAGCTCTGAAGTGCAGTAGTGCAGGAAGCAGAAAGGCTCTGCTACATAGTTCACAATTTCACTGGTGTTGTGCGACTGAACAAGCAAACCTGGGCTCCGAAGCTACCTGGCAATTTTATTTTTTCGTCTCCTCCCTCACTTTAACTGTTCTGTGAGAAGGTAAAGAGGGATGTTTCATACCAGTTCTTCCTTTCTAGCTAGAAAATATTTATGTTTCTAACTCCAATCAGATTTAACTAGAAGGTAGGAATTCTGTTCAGGGATAATGAATATGAAAACCTGTTCCTAGAGCACTCTCAAGATCTTTTGGCTGTTTACTTTTAGGGGACAGGTACAAGATATCTGGCAAAAGCCTTCACTTGGAGCATGAGTAATCGCACTGAAGTCAGTTTTGTTTTATGCTTGTTTTGTGATTTGTTTGTTATCCAAATAAAGGTAAAGACTTAATTTTCTAGAAAGGACATGTCACAAGTTAAGTTGAACACAATGTTGCCCATATCAAACACAAAATTCTGTTCCACAACACTTCATCATTGTGAACTTTTGTAGAGGCAGGTGAATCAGTGCACATTTGGTAACTGGTTTGGTTTTGTCACTTGTTAAAAACAAAATAGTAGATAGGAGCTCATTAGCTATAAGATAAAGTCTTCCATAAAGAGATTTGACTTCTGTTGTGTTACCTTTCATGAAAGTGTTTTTCATATTGTTGATGCAAATAGAAGTAGGTTTTGCTCTTTTACCAGTAGCAAATTTGAGGAATGATTTATGCCAATAAGGATTCAGTGGAAGACAGGAAAAGTACAGTGAAAGTTAATTCAGAGGAGCAGAGATTTGGAGGTGCCCAAGAAATAACTGAAGAGACCTGGATGTGACTCAGCTACCATGTGGACTAGCTCTTACGTCCAGGGTTTAAAGAAAGATAAGTTTCTGTATTCATCTTGTCAGCTGAATTCTGTATGGATTTGACGGGATTCAACCTGTTCTTGGCATGCTTCTGGCAACAAATTCTAAACACAAAATCTCATTCCTTCCACCTTTTGATTTTTTTTTTTTAAGTATTTTAAACAAGAAAATTAATGTACTAGTTTACTCAGTCAAAGAGCAGATAAAGACAGAAAAGTAGGATAGATTACAGTTGGAAGTGGCTATAGAGAACATTTATGAACTACTGCTAAAATACACTGTTTACCTTATGCTATCCAAAGTTGTGGAGTAGACACAATTTCAATTGGTACATTCGAGGAGGAAATCACACACACTCTATTGTGTTGACAGGACAAGTCTGAATCTTCTGGATTTCTATGTCATTGTGTTTCTAAGATACTGTTTTACAAATATTTTGCAGTCTTAAATAGCTTAAGAGTGAATAAGTCTCAATCAAGGCAAAGATACGTTTCTATTTTTAACACCTCAATGCTCTCTGGTGCTGAGCTGTTAATGATCTTTTTGGCTGTTGTGATCTCCAATAGGCAATAATAAAACAATTTACTTTTCATCTTGTTGCCTCTGAACTGTCTGGAAGTTTTGAAGATCATTTGAGTGCATTTTAATTTTCCTGTGAAGTTTTCAAAGTAAACAACTCTTTCCTCTAGCCACTGAAGAAGTACTATCTTAAAACTTATATGGATTCCACTCAAACTCTGGTTCAATTATTTTCCCATTTGAGTACTATTTATCCCATGACCAAACACAATATGCCATTTTTAGTACAGCAGAGAAAAAAAAAAAAAAAAGTGTTTTGCTTTTTTCAAGCCAAACAGGCCTTCCTGAGAAAGAAAGTAACTATTAAAGTGGTCCTTTTTTTAAATTTAATTTAATTTTTTTTTAATTTTAAGCTCTTCCTTAATTTTTAATACCATGAATGCAGCCTGTTTCAAAGCCACCTGAAGCCAAAGAAAATATTTCCTTTGATTCCCTTTGACTTCAGTGCACTTTGCATGAGACTACGCATTACTTGTTAAATGACTGGTTCCACTTACAATAAGAATTCTTAGTACTTACTTTTTGGTACTTTCATAACTTTCAGAGAGTGCATTAAAGCCAAAATATATTGATGCAGATGAGTTGTGCAAGCAAGAAAGAGATTTACAGGCTATTGTGTTAGCTACCATAAAGTAAAGGGCTCAGAAAATCAAAGGCACTGCACAGTCATGTTAACTTAGCTAGTTAAACAAGTCTGAAGGTTTTGAGGTCATAGCCTTCATTCTGCTTATTACCACAGCAAACGTATGAGAAAATTCAAGCCAAATGGGGAACATATCCATCAAGTTACACAAGAGAAAAAGAATCAAAATACAACATAAAGCATTTTGATAGTGCTTGTGCTGAACAAACTTCAAAGCTTAACGGAGTCCACTTCTCCGAGCAAGAGTTAAGGTTCTGTGGTTAAGCAACCTTCCTTAGTGTGAAAGTAAAGGTTATTCCATATATTTATTTCTAAATGATAAAGAGTAGCCATCTTTTCTACTGGAAATAAAAGAGATAGATGCAAGGGGAAAGTAGCAAATAGGGAAGGGAGAAGGAAAAGGCTTTTGACTGAGGTTCTCAGGACGCAAGATAGCTGGCAGATCAGCCCCAAAAGTTGTTTTTCTGGACTCTGAATTGCTTCCCAAGGTGAGGTCATGTTGTAGATAACTTATCAGGTAGCCTTTACTATTCATTTTCTGACTGTTTGCAGTCTCATCCTGCCAAGCAATGCAATACTGTTGATCTTACCATCAGATGGAAGCTGGAAGGCAGTGGGGAATGGAATGAAAACAAAGTAAGAAGGAGGAGATCTCTCAGGCAGCAGGGAAACCTTGGTGGCTAGGCACTGTCCACTGACTTACAGATTTGCAAATAATACCACGGGCCTTGACAATCAAAATTAAATAGGTGCAGTGAAAACAACACTTTTCTCTGTGAACATGCCAGCTACCTTTTCCACTAAGAAAATTCCCTTTTTTCACTGACACAATTACCCAAATAGGATAATCTACCATCATTTTGGTCACAAATTAAGTTTAAATTCTGGCATACCAATTTTGAGTCCTTAGTTTTCAGTTTAACTTACTTTTTCTCCGATCTCTAAGCCCTTCTAGGCACCAGTAGGCCTTTTTGTTTAGACTAATTCAATTATTTTCTCTCTCATATGTTCCTCCAGGAACATGCTTATTTTTAACATTGATCAGAGGAAATTACAAACTCTCACACTGCTTCCAACGTTGGAGTCAGGCCTCAGTTATTACCACCCTTTCAGTTTTGTAGTAGCTTAATCTCTATAGTTTAAACCGTCAAAGAGAGTATGCAAGTAAGTGGCTAATCTGTCTCTGTTGACTGCTTTGAAGGAGCAAAGCAGCACTACCTCATCACAGCACCGTGCTCACAGGAGGCAAGTCCCAGCTGTGCTCACAGGAGCCCGTCATTATCTAAGCATCTCACGTTTCTTAATGTATCAATATTCAATTAATAGTATCATCAGTAGGTAAAGAAATACAATTAGTCACAGGTAATTAACCATCAAGTGGGCAAGTAATAAATCTCAGCAGACTACACTACTCCAGGTTTACTGACAGGAAGCCCTAAGCCCAGTGGAGAAACTAAGCTTTCAGCCCTGTTTGCAGCTTAACAAGTTGAAGAGGCCCAAGTTTCACCAAAATGGAAGACTCCTAAAGAAGAGGCCTCGTTCTTTTTAAAATGGCGACACCCCTCTTTTATAGACTGGAACATTTACCCAGCAAGTTCCCAAGCAAGACCCAAAGTCTAGGCCATTTTTACCTCGAAAGGATTCAAGGCCACATTTCTGTAGAGAAGCTTTCCCTAGGTCAAACTACAGAGCAGTATTAACCTGCTGCTCTCCCTCCTCTGCTAACCCCCCGTGACACCAAGAGCACAAGAGTTTGCAGGCCAGAAGGAGACTGTGCGTGTAAGGAAAGGGCTCCCTGCTCTAGTGGATTCCAGATCCACTCCTAGAATTACTTCTGCATTTCCCTCCGCACAGGCATGGTGAGGGATGGGAGGGGGTTGAGAGCCAGGAGAAGAACAGTGAAAGTCCTGAGAGTAAATTAATGTGAATTTCAAGTGCATCTAATTCCTGGCTGCAAAGAACAAAAGAAGCATAACTGGAGTCCGTTCTGAAATTCTCCGAAATCTTACTACTTTTAAGGCTTTGAATGTTAATTTTGAAACCAAATTTCTCCCCATTTTTACAGTATTTGTCTTTTAGCTCTGACTGAAGAAAGCTGTAAAGCTAAGTTGATAGCCATCTCTGTGTCTCCTTACAGATAAGATATGACAGTCACTTCCAGCTTCGGGTATTTGGCACGGGTGTACTGAAGGCTTCTTCTGCTTTTAAAAGGCTCACTCAAAAACTGGTGA